CAAATATAAATTACTTCGTTATTGTACCTAAATTAAATTATAATAAAAATTTGAATTAAAAAATTACACAAAAAATTGAGGAATTTTAAATAGTTAATTTGGTATGAATATATATCGATATATCTTTGTTATGCATAAAGTACTGTATATTAATGCATATTACTTAAAATTCAAGATTACAAGTAGTTATGCATAAATACAACTTATTAAAACTCGATTTTTGAATTTGTATAAATAACTGCGGATAAACATAATCAAATAAAGGATGAACATCTCATTTTAAAATATAAAAAATCTAAAAAATAATTAGAATAATTATCGAGTTCTAACAAAATAAATAATTATTATCTTTATAAAAAAATTATATTATTAAACCAAATATGAATTAATTCGTTATTGTACATAAATTAAATTATTAAAAATGAGGAATTTCAAATAGTTAATTTGATACTAATATCGATATATTTTTGTCAAATTTTTATGATATCTTCAAACATATGTTTTATTCAAAAATAAAAACATCATCGTTTTCTCAAAATCACATAAAGCCATATTATAACATCAGCTGAGATAAATAATAAAATGAAATATTAAAATCACGATGTATCTCGCTGTATTGCGCGAGTACGCTTCTAGTTAAATATTAAAATGTTAATTATATTATTAAAATAAATTATTGATTTTCTTATAACACGTCTATTTTTTATTTGTAAAGATAATAAAATAAATATGTATTTATTTTAAGTTTATTTGAATTATTTAAAATTTGAAAGAAATTAATTTTGTGGTTATTGCAACAAAGTTACATCTGTAGATATAAAAGATAGTGAATGACCTTAAGAACTGTAAAATCTTAAAGGGATGTTTGATTCGCAGAATGATTTTTGAATGAATGAAATATGTCAAATGAATTGGAATCTGGAAGGAATTAAAATGAAATGTTATCAGGTTTGACAAGTGTTTGGTTGACATAAATGAAATGTAATCTGTCTAACGAGTTGGAGTCTACATATTTGGTTTGCAACATAATTGAAATGAAATGATGAAAAATGACAAAAATACCTCCTCTTCTTCCTTTTCTCTTCCTTACCAGCATCTTCATATGTAACAACCTTCTCATTTTTCTTTTACTTTTTTATCTTTATTTGTCTCATCCATCTGTAGCTTTGCATGACAAACCATTCACAAATCTGCCTTTAGGCATGGGAACGGGACAGGAACATCAATATTCGTCCCCATCCCCAATTACTTATTTCTATCCCTGTCCCCGTCCCCATCCTCGCCGGGGAATATAATCACATTCTCATCCTCGTCCCCAACATGGAACGGGGATCCCCAACGGGGAATCGGATATTTTTTTTTCCGTTTATATAAGTTATTTTAAATTAAATATGTGAGAGACCATACATGTTTAAATCTCAAACCTTTTCAATAAACCTAAAACCGAAATAAATTTAATTTAATACAACAAAACCACAAACATCATATAAAAACTAATAACTTAAAAAAAAACAATTATATCCAAAAAAAACCTTAAAGTAGCATGTATCAAAAGATATTGAGTAATATAAAACCATATCGAGTAATATACAAAACTTATTGAGTAATTGTATTTTGACTTGACATTTAAAATATTACATATTAACATCCAAAAAATAACATTTTTAGATTATAAACCTAGTTAGAAAATAAAAATTATGAACTACCGCTTTAGTTGAAATAAATAATATACATACATACATATATATATATATATAGAGGGTGGTTCAAATACTAACCCAATATTTTGTGCAAACTTTGCTAACCCACATCAACCAATAATGTTGCATCTTTGGGTTTGGTTAAAATGTAACTTACATATTAATGATAAGGGTATTTAGGTCATTAGTCATTCTTATGTAACTCCCAAATATTTTAATTGGGAGTTACAAATCCTACAATATCTCAAATTGATCTTCATCTAATAATGACATGAAGATTCAAATATGTTCATCTTATTGACAACTAATTCACATTTGAAACCACCTACAACGAACATCATGCACGAACAGATATAAAGTACATGTATCGGTTTTATCTGCACAACCCCTGTTTTTGTTAATGTGCATGTCTCATCGTCGTGCATGTGTATCATTACGAGCATGCATCAAGGTTGAAGAACATGATCATATGACCAACATATATCGATTATAGTGTTCATTAGGTTCACACGGTGTAGCTAATGTTCATATATCTAGGGTTCACACGGTATAGCTAATGTTCATATATCTAGGGTTCACACCATAAGGTTCACATGAATGTTCATACCTTGATATAGGCACGAAGATGAACGATTGTTCATACACATATTAATTAATACAAAATTTTGACCAATTTATCCTTTGAACAATTGTTCATACACATATTAATTAATATATTAATTAAATTATTGTTTATTTAATCTCATTTAATAATAACCGTTAGATGAGAAAATGAACGATTAAGATGGGTTAGCATAGTTTGCACAAAATATTGGGTTAGTATTTGAACCAGCCCCTATATATATATATATATATATATATATAACGGGTACGGGGCGGGGAGTACCATATCTGTCCCCGTCCCCATCCCCAATTTAGCGAGGAATCCTTGTCCTTGACCGGGGCGGGTGGACCGGGTTCCCCGACGAGTCGGGGCCCATTTCCATGTCTATCCGTAGTGATGAAATCTCATATGCGTTTAAACATACAAATACAAGGACAAATCCCTGAACCACTGGTGCTTCGGTTGAATGATGAGGGTTGGCAAGGAGGTATTATTATTGGTTTAGAACAAGGATTTCCTTTTGTTTTTTATTTCTGGTATCACCAACCGTGGGAGGACGATGATGATGGCCGACAAGGAGGTTTCCAATCAAGAATCGTGCTGATTTGGAGAAGTCGAAAAAGGAGAAAGAAGATGAGGGTATTTTTGTCATTTACACAAATTTGAATGTAATGTATTTCAATTCATCAATTTTATAAATGAATGGTGAAATCCTCAAATGAGGGAATCTTTGGAATTCAATTCAATTCCAATAGTAACCAAACATTGGAATAAATTTTGGTAAACGAAATTGACCATTCAAATTTCATTAGATTCCGGCGGATTCCGACAAACCAAACACCCCCTAAGGTGCCATCAAACTATCTAGGATTTGTGAACGTTGAAATTTTTATAGACCCGATTGATATATATATCGTATCTTAAAACCCAATATATATTTTTTTAAGTGATTTAAAAAATAAAGAGTTTTTAAAAGACGGAGATGGTATTTTTTGGATACTTTGTAAAGATATATTTAAAAAATTGTGGTAATTTACAAATTCCATTCATGTGGTTCGGAAAAATTGATTAAAATAGTCATTTTGACTGCATGATTTTATTTTTAGTCATTTTCTCTTTGAAAATAACGAAAATACCACGAGTCCAAAATTGTCAGGTCCACAATTTACGTAGGGATCAAAGTGTCAGGAAAAAAAAACTTTCTGAACGAGGTCCGCAATTATGAGGACCAAATATGTTAATTTTGAAAACACAAGGTATATTTTTGTGGACCTATAACTAATTTACATATTTAGTCACTGTAGTTATAAGTTTGGTTTAGAAACCTTTTTTTTTAACTTTGACACCTCCACAAATTACGGATACATGGTTATTTTCGTTATTTTAGAAGAGACCTATCATAAAGAATAATTATTTTAATCAATTTCTCTATGATTTATGAATTTCATTGGGTTTCATCCTTGCACTTGAGAAAGTTATAAAATTTTCCTATTATTTTCAAAATCTTTTGGATTTGGTTTGTTTGTCTAACAGTAGAGGAGTCTTGTTAACGGATCCCACGCTCTGAAAATAGGAGGTCATTTTTGTCATTTAACAATTTTAATAAGTTATTAGACAAAAAACAAAAACTAAATTTATTATCCCCCTTTCTAGGGGTACTTAAAAACCCCCCATCAACTCGATCAACTCGGCCAACCCATCGTGAAATAATCCAACCCGAAGCATTCTAATAGATAGTCAAGTTATAAAATCTTCAAAATGTAGGTATTGTGTTAGAGCTGGTTACGATTGAACCCAACCAAATCCGATGCTACTGGTTGCAGGTGGATGGGTTTTTGACTTTTAAAAAGTTATTAATAACGAGGGTGCAATGTCCAAAATGGCCCTCATATGTTCAGCATTAAACGGACTCGTTTAACTGTCATTAGGCTTATGGATGAAATCCAAAAGATTTTGCAAATAGTAAGGAAAGATTTGTAACTTGTAAACCACAGGGACTACATTTGTAATTGTCTCTAAACTTAATTCAATATTTAAATACTTGTTCCCGCTTTACAATTTCCAAAATTTTGAAAAATACGCATTGAGCGGCCCAAATCACATGTGGGCCCGTTAATCATTGCTGTCTCTGAGCTGTCTTCAATCACTTGCAATATCCCATCAATACGAAATACCTTAAACACCCCTCAATGCTCGCATCCATTTGCCTTCAATTTTTGAAAACTAAAGGTTATATTAGTCACTACAGATTTCAACGGGAAAAAGGCGGGTAACATCCGGTCCCTAAAATCCGGATTTTTCTTTGTGTTTGGAGCCGCTCACACCCGTTTCTCCTTGTCTTCAAACCCTCTCTCTCTCTCTACCTGTAAAGCACACAGAAAACAAGCCTTCATCTTCTTGATCAGCGATTATTGCATCTTTCAATCGATTCTCTCCAATCAATTTCAAGTTCTTGAAAGGTAAGTTGAATCCTTAAACTAATTTTATATTTAGTTGTGCTTTCATTGATGTTTTTCTTCGATCTTTTATGGGGATTGGATGTTGATTATGATAAGTACCGATCTCAGGTGGTCCAGTTAATTGTTGTTATTTTCTTTATCATTTATGAATCTGTTTTGCAAAAGCTGTGGTTCGAATGGTGGAATTGGTCTTTTCCATGTTTTTTTTTCCTCTTTTTTACTTCATTGCCCTTTTTTTATGTTATGTATTTGACTTCTTGACTAGTTTGATTGAAATCTGAAACTTATGGTGGATTAGCAGTCGGATGTTCACTTGATCGTAGTATTTTTCATGCCTTTTGATTTGTATAGTAGGACGAAAGTTCCATGACTTCAGTGATTCTGAACAAATTTATGTATGGATTGAAGGATAACCGTGATGATGGTCTATATATGATATAGATGATATCGTGGTGGTGCTGAACATTAATTCCCTCATCCAGTTCCAGTTCGCTATGGAGAAAAATGGTTTAAAATTAAACCATCAGACTACCAAATGCTACCCTAATTTGATTTTGATCATAAGATGTTACTGAGAATACCAGATCAATGCATGTTAAGATTACATGCTGTTTTACTTCGGGGTGCATGACATAGGCATTATCATGATTCATGTCTAGACAGTAGGCAGAATAACTCCAGTTGAGGATTTAGGCTGTAGTGTGACCTGGATTCTGCTAGATTTTCCTTGGCTGCTTTGTACTTACAGAGTTGCCATGCTGGGCTTTGGGAATTCCTAACTGTTGAAGATTGTTCTGGAAACTGTGAAGATCTTGATCTCTAATCTGTCTTGTGGATTTCGCAATGGTTTACTAGGGTAGACGACAGGCATAAGTTCCAAATGTCTTGTTGTTTCTCTGTGTGAGTATGTGGAACCCTGTTAGATTACTCTCCAAAAGAGCCCTTGAGGAGAGAACAGATGTTCGAACATGTATAGGGGAGTAATGGTCCAATTGTAGCTGATGTAGGACTCTACACTCTGGTCTTATGTGCGCAACTTCTTGTAACAAACGCTGTTGCTTTTCAATTTTTTTCGTTTTTGTTGCACATCGATGGCAAGAGATCATATAAAATTGGTAACTGACAGAAACTTTATCTTTAAGTTCAGATTGACTAGTTGTAAAGTAAGCAAATTGACTTGGAATGTTTGACAAGTAGAACCTAATATTTTCTATATGATCAAGTTGACTGGTTGTTGGGCTATGTAACTGAATTAGTCTCACATATAGCCCACATTGCCTTATACTGTTGGAAGCTAAATCTTATGCTATGATATCAACTATTGCAGAGCAGTTGATCTCTTGATATGGAGGGTGTTGAATCAAAAATAACTCCTGAAAATTTTACATGCCTTGCAGAAAATGTTGAAGGTGAGATTCTTATTTATATAAACCATCTTTCATGAACTTGTATTTAATTCAGAATGGATTTCTATATTCTAATCTACACACTAATTTCACTTCAAACTTCATGAAAACTAGGGTTCCAGAAGTGTGTCGAAGAAATTCTTAAGCTAATCGAATGGGATGGAGATTTCTTCGAAATGACTGCCGAAATTTATGATCACAAGAAGTCTGAATTGACAACACAGGTAGCTGAGTTGTCACGCATGTACACAGCATTGGCTGATCAACATGGTCATTTGATTGGAGAATTCAGCAGGAACTGTCCATCTGGGATCAAAAAGCAGCATCTTGATGCTTCTGATTCGAGCTCTCCTCAAGTTACTCAAATGTTTACTCCTGACCAAATGAGTAACACACATAAATTTAGGACACCTATCGGTTTTGATGTACTTTTGAGCTCTGGTGGCGCTGGTTCTTATATTTCTAGAAGAGAAGGCTCAGAGTCTTCCTTCTCATTATCGTCAGATTCTGATTCAGAATCTTTTATGTCTACCAACAAACTTCTAATTTCACCAGTTAACGATGATGCATCAAAGGTAAAAGAAACCAAGGTCTCTGAAGTGTTGCTTAAAAAGTTCGCTAATTTGGAAGAAGAGTTGGTCAGTTTGAACACAAAGCTGCAGACTTTAGAAGATGAAAATACTAAGCTGAAGAGCAGGATGCATGAGAATGAATCAGTTACTGAGATTGCATCAGATATGCAGTCTCAGCTGGAGTTGGCACAAGATGATATTAGAACTCAAAATGCTTATCTTGAAGCTGAGAAAGCCAAAGTGGTTGAGCTACAGAAGCAAGTTGCTGACCTTAAACTTGTGATTTCTGACTCTAGTTGTGAGATTGAAATAATGGGAGTGCAGTTAAAGGAATCAAAAGAGAAACTCTTAGCAGCAGAGGATGAAATTTCAAAGCTGAAGCATGAGCTTGGATCAACTGAGCAAGAGATGGCCTTGTTACAGAGGCAATTTGATTCAGAGAAAGACAAGGTTCTTGTATTACAAGAAGAAGTGTCCTTATGTGTAGCTGATATATCAGTTCGTGAGGATCAAATCACAGAACTTAATAACAACATCAATCAGTCCATTTCCCAAATTTTACTACTGAAAAGTACCCATGAGGCCAAAGAGGATCGCTGGAATACTGATATCGAAAGACTGAAAATGGAATTAAGGGAAAAATATGAATTGGCCGATAATTTGAATAAAGAGATGGACGCTTTGAAACAAAAGCGCGATGCTGTGATGGTAGAGAAAGATGGAGTTAAAGCTCAGCTCCACACACTTCAAGCTGAGATGTGTTCTCAGGACAATCTAATCAGAGAACTGGAGAACCGTCTGAATGCACTACAATTTGAGCACGTAGGGTTACTTGCATCATTCGATAGTGTACAAAAAGATACAAATGAACTAAGACTCAAAGTGGTGGAATTGGAAGCAGAAGTGGATAGGCAACAAGAAGTTATATCAGATAGAGCAGAGGAGAAAAGGGAAGCTATAAGGCAACTATCTTTCTCCCTGGAGCATTACATGTCTGGATACAAAGAACTTCGCCAAGCATTCACGGGTCACAAGAGGCAAGCAGTTTTGACTTCTTAAGTTCACAAAATCCACAATTCTGAATTCAACAAGGTTAGTAGTTCTTCAGTTTTTTACATACAAAGACTCTTGTTGCATATATATATCCTTTACATCATCCTATGATGTTGTTGGTACTCATATATCAATCCAGTTTAAGAACTTTGATACTTTCTTTTGCTAGTAATGGCTTGTTTGTTTTCTTCATTTGCTCGTCTGTTTGATTTTTGGTTCCTGATTGGTCTTGATTTGTGGGAATGTGGTTTTTACAGAAACAACCATTCTAACTAGGTGGAATATACTGAGTTTGTTTGGTTTAGTTTTAGTAAGTTATGTGTATGCCTTTCAAGTCATATTGCTCAATTCAAGTATGGTGAGACATTTTGTGCAGCCTCTGGGTTACTGAGTGTGGTAGTGACTAGTGACCCTGGACTTGGCCAAAGTCTAAATTATTTCCTTTTGTGGACATAATTATTTTCTAATTTGAATATATAGGAGTGTTTGACTTTGACTTAGTCATTACATATGAAGTCAACGATTATTTGAAATAGTCATGGTAGACCAAGTCTTTGGTCTTGCTTGTATGCATGCATCTGCTCCACACTTTACTCTTGTTCGTTATTCAAGAAACGATGAATTATAATACACATTTTTAAAAACTTACCTTGTCAATGGTTCTGATCCCATATCGTTTTTTTTATTCTCAAGTAAATGGGTTTAGAAAATCATTTTTTTTAAATTAAGAAAACCTTCGTATTGATATATAAATGAAATATCGTGACGATAGTTTATGGTCACTTAGAAAATATATATCTATTTTTCCCTTTATAGCATGACCAAAGTAATTGTTTCCCGATTTGGAACTTTTAACAGTCTTATGAATAAGAGTGGTCACCTAGAAAATACGTATCTATCTTTCCTTCTCATGATGTGTTTCTAACTACCAAAATCTTGGCATATAATAAGAAGGCATTTCACTTGAAAGAAACAAGAAATTTCATAGGAAATTTTGAGGTAATTATGAAAGAATCCGAGGATTTTATGCATTCATTGAGACTTCTGTCATAGTCATTTTTGTATTTTAAATACAAATATAATACGACACAATAATCAAATAAGAGAACATAAAAAACAACATTCACATCACTTTGCTGTGGCCTTATTGCCCGCTTGTGTTGGCCTTTTTTTTACTCCATTCTTGTTTGATCATTATGTGTGTGGGGTTGAGTTCCGGTGACAAGAGAAGTTATGGTAAGAAGTGTAAGAAGAGATTTTTACCCTTACATCAATTGTCTAATTGAATGTCATATGTGCATATTGTTTAGATGAATTATTACGAGAGTGTTTATAAGTTTTTCATTGTTTATAGGTTTTCCTTGAACTTGATACTATGTATATGTATATGTATATGTATATGTATATGTATATGTATATGTATATATGTATATGTATGTGATGCATCATTATATGATTGAAATGATGGAAGAATCTGATATTTGCTTCAAGTAGAAACCAGTGTTCACATTCCAGTGTTCCAATTTTTTGGGTTCAAATCATTTGGGTGATCCTTTTTCTTTAATAAGCAAGCTAAAGGTTATTGTTGCTTTATACCTAAACCACCATTCTTTTAAAAAATTATCATTAATCATTAAATATGATTATAAATATATACGTAATTATTCTTAAAATATTTTTATGATTTTATATATACTATTCATATATAACAATATTTTATTCGATTAAAAATTTAAACTCTCTCCCATCCCAATTTAAAAATAAATGAAAAAGCCACGAATTTTTAATTTTAGAACGATTCAACGATTTTAATATATTTATTGACATTTTTTATGTTAAATTTGAAAATGATACTACAATTTTCAATAGACATGCGTGCAGAATACGACATTTTCATTTTTTCCGAATATTATATTCCTAATTTATTCTATTTTTAAAAAAAATTAAATGATGTTTGAAATCATTATCTAATAATAATACTAATAAATGGCATCGTTTGTTGACTATTTGACTCAAATTCCATAAATGACTACTTCATGCGTATATACAATTATACATGTTATAGTAAAAGAATATTATTATACAAAACATGGGTTTGAATATTTATAGATCACATAAACTACTTATTTATCTTAAATTTTTTAATTAAATTGTTTTTAATTTACATAAAATGTAATTTTCATCAAGATTAGACCGATAATACCACCAAATAATCTATACTATATTATAAAACATTTGATAAAAATTCTTAAAAACTATTTTTTATGCATGAAGTACTGTATATTGATGCATATTACTTAAAATTCAAGATTATAAGTAATTTATGCATAAGTACAACTTATTAAAGTTACATGTTTAAATTCGTGTAACCAACTGCGAATAAATATAATCAAATAAAAGATAAACATCTCATTTTAAAATATAAAAAATCTAAAATATAATTAGGATAATTATCGAGTTCTAACAAAATAATTAATTATTATCTTTATAAAAAATTATATTATTAAATCAAATATAAATTACTTGTTATTGAATCTAAATTAAATTATAAAAAAAAATTGAATTAAAAATTACACAAAAAATAGAAATTTTAAATAGTTTATTTGATACTTATATCGATATATATTAGTCAAATTTTTATGATATTTTCAAATTTATATTTTATTAAAAAATAAAAAACATCATTGTTTTTTTTATGTTTTTTTCAAAATCACATAAAATCATACTATAACATCGACTGAGATAAATAATAAAATGAAATATTAAAATCAAGATGTATCTCGTTGTATTATGCAAATACGTTTCTAGTATTTTATTAATTATATTAAATATTTTAATGATATAATTATTATTGTATTTTTTAAAATAAAAAATTGTTGAAGATAATTTTATTTTTTTTAATTCTTATTTTAGGAAATTTATTGGGTATGTATTTGAATACTTTTACAAAATTATGACCAATTAAATACTTTATCTTTACAGAAAATATTTAAGAGAAAAAACGAACAGGAAAGCGATAGAAGCTTTTGACTTTTTGTCTTGGGTATCACGTGTTCTAGAAGCACTGGATGACGTCAATATAGCGAAAGCAAGCTATCATGCATCCTGCCACATGGCATGATGTCACTGGCAAGCAATGTTATTATCTGCCAGGTCACCATGTGGCTTACGTGTTCATTTGGGCGGTGACCGGTGATAACTTGCATTTAACTCCGGTCGTCTCGTCTTCTTATGTGGCACTGCCAGTTTATTACGGAACCGGGCCCGGCCGTAACCCCAGTGGTTGGCCTTCTTGGGCCGGTATAAAATCAATTTTTAATATAATGATGCAATATGTCATTTTATGATAACATTGATGTCGTGACCAACTGCAAACCCAGGGTATTATAAAGTATTTTTGGTTTATTTTTGCGGTGTTTGGTATTACTTATTTTAGATGTTTTTTTAATTTATTTCAGTTTGACATCGATAATAAGCTAAATGCTAGTGTTTGGATGAGAAAAAATAAAACTGCTTATATCGGTGTAAAACTGATCATTCTTGACTTATGAAAAACTGCTTATTACCAGTATACTATTTTAACCATGTTTTATTAATGTTTGTTAATTATTAGTCTTATTGATATAAATTATTAATCTTATTGATATAATTTTTTTGTCAAAGATATTATTATAAATGATGAAAAATTAATTTTTACATGTTAAAAAGTCAAATAAGTTGATAAGCAATCACAAACACTTCCGTAAGTCAATAATATGGAAGACTGTCCTTTTTGGTCATTTTATATATATAAGCAAAATTTGCCAAACAACTTATGTTTTTTTTTGTAAAAATGCTTATTAACTTATGTGGTGTTAAACCGGAGTTTTATAAAAAAATGTTTGGATTAGTTTATGGTGGTACCAAAACGCAATAAGCTGATAAGTTATTTTTTTAGTGTTTGGCAAATTTTGCTTATATATGTAAAATGACCAAAAAGAACAATATTCCATACAATAATATTTTTGATTATTAACTTATTTGATTTTTTAACATGTAAAAATTTATTTTTCATCATTTATAATAATATTTTTGACAAAAAATTATATCAATAAGATTAATAATTAACAAACATTAATAAAACATGGTTAAAATGGTAAACTGGTAATAAACAGTTTTTCATAAGTCATGAAGGATTAACTTATCAAAAACTGCTTATTACCGGTTTGGCACCGGTATAAGCAGTTTTATTTTTCCTCATCCAAACACTAGCATTTAGCTTATCATCGGTACCAGACTGAAATAAGTCAAAAAACACCTAAAATAAGCAATCTCAAACACCCTTAAAAAAATAACTTATCAACTTATTACTTTTTGGTTCCGTTATAAACTAATCCAAACACTTTTTACAAAACTCCGGTTTGATGCCACGTAAATTAATAAGCACTTTAAAAAATATATATATAAGTTGTTTTAAATAAGCAATCCTAAACATCCCAAAATGTTTATTAAAAATCAAATAATTGTCATTAAATTATAAAATAACATAAAAAGGTGTATTATTGTTATAGACATGGGAAGCACTCCGATATTTCAAATATTTTTGGAATAAAAGAAATATTTTATTTTTGGCAACCAAAAACTCTCCAACACATTACAGAAAATAATTGGTATTATAAATAAAAGAATATTTATAATAATTTATTAATAATAAAGAAAATATTAATAGTATGTTAAATTGAATTTGGTTTGGTGGGTGTGTGGCTTAAATGATCTCACCGCCGACTTCATCTTCATTCTTGAGAGTCTAGAGAGAGAGAGAGAGAGAGAACGCATACATAAAATTCATTCAGTCCAACACAAGACTTGTTATTAACAATCAATCCCCCTCTTTCTTTTCTTCATTTTCAATTTCAATTTCAATTTCAATTTCTAGAGAGAGAAAGAGAAGGAGTTAGAGAGAGAATCATCAAGATTTCGATCATGGAGTTTCTGTAAACAACAATTCTCAGGTTCTTCACCTCTATGCTTCAATTTCAACTGGTTTAGATCAAGATTTTCCCATTTCTTGCATTGTTTTATGTCTAAAACAATCATAAAAATCAAATCTTTTGTGTTTTTTGATACCCACTTCTTGATTTTAATTCCATCTTTAAACAAGATTTCTCAAAGTTCTTTCTGTCAATTTCTCCCTCAAAACCCACTTCTTGATTTTAATTCTGATACCCAGTTCTTGATGTATATGGGTTCCCATGTAGGATCCGAATTTCCAGAAATGGGTTCTTTCTTTTTTAAGCTAAACGAGTTCCTTTTTTCAGGTTCAATTTTTTATAATACAAATGGGTTTTTTGTGCATATGTTTGACTTTTTGTACTTCATCAGTTTTTTTGGCCATGTTTGTCTTGTTGTAACCAACCTCTAGTTCATAATTGGGAACTATTTTCCTCAAGAACATGATGAATGGTTATGGTCACCAATTCTTGATCAAGATCTCCATGATCGTCAATCTAAACCCTGAAAAAGAAAAGTCAAACTTTGATTGAAAACCAGTCAAATTTGTTTTAGATGGATCTTTTTTAAAGATTCATCGAGTTTTGTATTGAAAAGGGACAAGTTTCGTTCAATTTGAGGTTAAAATCAACTAATTTTTTGATGATGGTATTCGTTAATCTGAAATTTTCTTGATTTGAATCGTTATTTACAGATCCTTTGTTCAAATAATTTCAGGGTTTTCAAGCATTTCGTAACTAAAATTTAGCAAGATGAACACTAAAGTCCGGTTAGTTCGATGCCCAAACTGCCGGAATGTTCTACCGGAGCCGCCAGGAGTTCCTGTATACAAATGTGGAGGATGTGGTATCGTTCTTCAAGGTTAGTAGGATATCAGCCACACTGTTTTTCTGCTTCTTTGATCTTCTGTTGATTTTGTTTCAATCATTTCCTGTGTTCTTTTGTTTGAATTCTGCTGTAATGATGCAGCAAAGAAGCGGAAAAATGGTTCTGATGATCAAGTAATCGACAGCAGCTCAAATCAACAGCCACCGGTTAGTTCAATTGGTGCACCAGGTCATAACCGAATGGATGGAGATCAGGATGCGGCTATGAAATCAGAAAACGATACGGTGGATGCACCATCAAATGGAATGGAACAGTATTCCTCCGGCAAACGGAAAATGGAGCAACTTTCTGATGATCAAGAAGCCGCCAGCAGCTCAAATCAAGATTTACTGGTTAGTTCTGTCGATGAGCCACATCGAGATGGTGATCATAACGATATTCATACGGGCCATGAGGATCCGGAATCATTGCCTGAAACTACAACTCATAACAGAATGAATCAAGATCATGATGCAACTAAGATGCAACTGTCAGGTAGACTCGAAGAGTATTCCTCCGGCAAATGGAAAACGAAGCAACTTTCTGATGATCAAGAAGCTGCCTACAGCAGCTCCAATCAACAATCGCTGGTGAATTCGATCAATGAACCAGATCGAAACACTGATCATAATGATCCTCGTAGCTCGACTGAGCTTTCGGGTCACGAGGATCCAGAGTCATCACCTGAAGCCACAGTTCACAACAGAATGGATCAAGATCATGATAAAGATCAAGATGAAGATCAAGATGAAGATCAAGATGAAGATCATGATCATGATAAAGATCAAGATGAAGATCATGATCAAGATCAAGATGAAGATCATGATCATGATCATGAGCAAGATGAAAATCATGATCATGATCAAGATGAAGACCATGATCATGATCAAGGTGAAGATCATTCTTCTGGCAAACTGAAAATGGAGCAACTTTCTGATGACCAAGAAGCTGACAGCAGATTGAATCAACGATCGCTGGTTGTTTCAATCAATGAGCCGGTTCGCAACAGTGATCATTATGAACCTCGTTGCTCGTCTGAGCTTTCTTATCATGAGGATCCAGAGTCGTCTCCAGAAGCTGCAGTTCATAACAGAATTGATCCAGATCAAGATCACCATCATGATCATGATTATGATCAAGTAATGTTTCCAATTAACGGAGTATTGGGAAACCATAAGATTGGGGATGAGTTTGAAGAGAACAGTTCGATTTCTGACTTTAACGAGATTGAAGAGCCATCACGCGAAGCTATTGCTAATATAAAGATTGTTCGGGATTCTGATGGTGGCTCTAAGTCGAGCTTTAAGAGCTTGATTGCAGAAAAGCTGCTAGATACACGGCAGAAGAAAGTGGTGTATTTGGACGATGATGACACGATATCGGAAGACGGAAGTGCAGATTTGTGCCATCGTCAAAGATTTGAGCGCGTCAGCTCGGCGGAGACTTTGGAAAATGGACGATTTGGTGGCATGAGTTACTACGGCTATGAGGGCAGCGTATCTTCTTTTGACGGAAACAACAATCAAATCCTGAGAAAGAATCATATTGGTCCGAAAGGGGATGAAAGGCATCATTATAAGCGGCGTAATGGCCATGGGGTTAAAGACGAACACCGGTCCATGGATGTCAGATCGTTTTACGGAAATACCAGCCCGTTGAGACATGGCATGAACGAGTTCCATGGGAATCCGAGACATCGTTCATCTGTGATCCCTGAAAACCCGAAAATGGAGAGACTGGAGCTATTGAAAATGGTTAGAGAACTGCAGGATCAGCTCGAAAGAACTAACGTCTCGAATGCTGCACCGCAAATTCCTTCATACCGCAACAATTTTTCGAACCACCCCGGAAGATATGGCCAGCGAATGGCGTATTCCGGCGAAACAACAGCGGTTAATAGACAACGAGATGGCGGCTCGTGCTACTATTGTTGTCCACAAGACCGCCATTTCTCTGCCCAGCTTCCGCGGCAATGTGTTTATTGTAATGGGCCTCCTTACGTGCCCACCCCCTGCTACAGCTCACATTGTTCTGGCTCGTCGAGCCCTCAACACCATTCAGAGTCTGAGTTCTTGGCACCAGTGCGGAGCAAACCAGAACCTGAGGACCGCCGGCAGCGGAATGACGTCCGAAAACAGTATCGTTCGCCAAAGAAACGATTCATCCGACCAATTGCCGGTGGGTCACCGTGGATCACTTGTTACCGGTGCTCGCAACTTCTTCAGCTGCCTCAAAGCTTTCTAGTTTTCAAGAGAAGATGCCACAGTGTGAGGTGTGGTGGTTGTTTGAAGGTGCTGAATTTTACGCTTTCAAACGGGACTCATGTTAGTCGATACTATCCAGAAGAAATGATCGCTGCTCCGCCAAGCAGCGAGGTGGAGGAGTATGCTAATTCACGAGCAGACCCAGTTTCGTGTTCCGATCGTTCGTTTCAAAAGAGTTACTCGACAGAAACGGATAGAAACGGTTCTCGGGAATTCATTGATAGAAGAAAGGCGATTATGTCAAGAGACCCATCTGGTTCAGCCGGGCCGTCTTCTTCAAAGATTTCAGGCCGGAGAAAGGCAACATCGGAGATCGAGGAGGTTGAGCCGGCCGGAGGTTCACCGCTGCATTGGCTCATGGGTTATGCTTCTCCGAGTAAGGTGATCCGTGGTTGATCGGAGTTTTGAAGAAAATCAGTTATTTTATAGTGTACAGTTGCATTGCATACGCTTGCTTCATATAAATTTGTTTGTATTTTTGGGTCAGTATTGTTGATTTATTATTATTATTATTTATACAAAATTGGGTATTTTTCTGGTCAGCATATTTATAAATCATGCAAGTAAAATATATAAATTATCGAGCCCAAATCAATAAACGAGTTAATCGATCTCGATTTGAGCTCATGAAAATTGAAGAAGGTAGTTGAGCTCGAACCGATATTATTTTTATGAGTCGAGCCCGAATAACCTGTTACTTGACTCGACTTAGTTCGGCTCGTTAACTCCCCTAGACCAGCCATCTGTAGCAGCCGTTAGGGTCTTCGGTCATGGCCCGACAACTAAACATGACAGGAATTTATAAGCTGATACACAAGTAAGGTTTGCTTATATTACCTTAGGATTTAGAATTCTCCAAGGTAGATTTACATTTTGATACTTCATGCTGCTCAAAATATCTGTGCACGTATATACTTGACTACTGTTGCTATACACAAAATAACTAAGTAGCAGCAAACCGATTAAGATTCCGGTGGGCTAGTAGATGTTTCGGTTGCTGGTTCTTCGATTTGAGGCAATTGTGACCCTTTGATCCTGAAGCATGTTCATGTTGGGGGCTAGTAACCGCGTGTAACGATCAAAATACAGAAGCTGTTTCATTAAGAGTGCAAACTCCCGAGGGAATCTTAACCCGTATGATTCACTAACCCGTACCTATTCACATGCCACAAACCGAGTTATGTGCTGCTTTTCAATAAACATCCGACTCCTATCATTTCGATATTCAACATATCTCTGCGACACTATCTCTTGTTTTTGTATAGGCAGGCCAGATAGAAAACGAAAATATGTAATTTGGTATGTCCCATGAAAGTTGCACCACTTTCTATTTTGGTAAGGATTTCAAGTTATCTCTCCGTCCCAAAATAAGTATCCATATTTCTATTTTAGTTTGTGTCCAAACAAGTATCATTTTCAAAAGCAACTGTCTAGTTCCAATTCTACCCTTGATTAGGAGATTAAAACTTTTAAAAGTGTTATATTTACACATTTCCAAAACCATGTGCCTTTTTTATTGTGGAAATAAAGTACTTTGGGACGGATGGATCAACACTTTTTCCCATTATCATCATTACGAGATTCTTTTATTTGTTTCTACTGAAGGGTGTTTTAAATAAATAATCAAAGTTATTATGGAAGAAAATGAGATCAAACAAGCTCATAGAAAGCTTATAGGAAGCTAAAAATATCAAATGTGAACTTTATAAGATGCTGAAGCGTACCACGTCGAGAAATAGTGCATTCATCTGCCTCTCATCAACAACTAAATTGGCTGATACAGTAGTTGCCTTTGTGTCTGTTCTGGTGGCTGCTGAAACAACAATTTCTGAATCCAAATCCTGAAAATCAGGACATGGTAGGCATAAGAATAGGAAGTAATAATCATAACTTGAGCAGGGCTAGAAACATAAAAATACATGCCTGTATAGACGAAAAGATCTTCTCCAAATCTCTAGCAAATGCCCTAGAGTCCACATCCACGTTTGTAGCACCCATGTCAATCAAGGCAGAGGCCATTGATTCATATTCTTCAGTTGCAAGTGAACCCAAAAACATTTCCATAGCACTCCATGTTTTTGGTGCTATCCGTCCCACAATTCCTGCAACTCATAAATTTTGGTTCAGGTGACATGGTCTATTGTCTGATTGCAGGTTTGTGTAATAGAAGCAGTACTTATAATATGCATCCACAAAGCCATTAAAGGGTAAACCCAGATTATAAATACCTACCAAAATCAAGAAACCCAATACGACCATCACGTAATACCCATAAGTTACCAGCATGTACATCTGCGTGGAAAGTTTCACATGCCATCAAACTACCAAACCTGCAGAAATTATCACAAAAAAGCTCCTTAAATTTTAAATATCAGTCCAGCACAGCACGGGACAACCACGGTATAGTGGGAATGAGTTAATGCAGTCTTGGCCATACCATACGTTAAGGGCAGTTATAAGACTGGTCTCTGGGCTTGAAACAAGCGAGCTTATTGAGTCCAAGTCAGTAAGAGGAACTCCGTATAGTCTTTCCATTGTCAGAACTCGCTTGGTACTGCATTCCGGATACACTTTCGGAGCTGTCGCCTGCCTGGTAAGCCCCATTGACTCCAGGTATCTTCTGAAGGACTCTATGTTTGCTGCCTCTTTCTTGAAGTCCACTTCTTCAAGCATTGATGCTCTTATGTCATTGACAATGGCAACCTATTAAAGGGATGCAGGAATTACAACTAATTCTTTAAAGCCACCCTATTTCTATGTAGAGATGTCCACATCATACCAGTGACGCACGGCTCACTTCAGGATTCAAGAACTCTATAATGCGAGCAACAACATAAATGAAGTTCAGATCTGCAACTAATACATCTTCAATTCCAGGCTTCAAGACTTTTATTACTACTTCTGCTTGTGACCCTTTAAGCCTAGCTGCATGTACCTAGAGATCACATTTTCCAAAATGTTAAACAAAATTTCTGATGAAGAATATTGCACTTTCAGATCACGATATCGACCTGTGCTATTGAAGCTGAGGCAATTGGTGTAGGATCAACGTACTCATAGATACTATCTATTGGGCTCGAGAGTTCCTCGCGCAGGATACTCTTAATCTCATCAAAAGGAATAACTGGAGCTCTGTCAAAACAATACTGAAATTCTTGCACGTATTCTGCTGGAAACAATGTGGGAGCTGATGCTATGAACTATAAATAAGAAATAAAATTAGGATTTAGTGATAAAAACTCAGGAACATGAGTAATTTGTTTTCATAAGTCGCTGATAGTGGAATATAGCATGAGAAATAACAGAAGGCAAATGAGCTCACAGCTCAATGAGTCAATGGATCAGCTACCAGTCATTAGAATGTGATGCCCCAATTTGCCAAGCTAAATGATAGTAAGTAGTAAAAGATTCAGATGCGAGGTAACCTAGCTCACCTGACCTAGTTTGATATAGGTAGCCCCCAAGCGTTCAAACAATTTCCGTAGGTAAAGGGGTGATAGCAATCCAAGCTGCATTTGCGACGGTATTCCACTAGGTGGATTTCTTGACTGCAATATATTCCACCAGCTCAATCAGAGAACAGCATTTACAGACACTCAGAATCTATGAAAAACAGTGAAAATAGCATGTTTCTGGAGAAAGAAGACAATATGGCAACCAAAATTTTAAATCATTCACCGCCAAATGATACAATTTCTAATAAATAGTGAAGTCGTCTATTCGGCTAGGTAAGGCTACATATGTTCCACCCTTCCCAGACTGCTAAATGGCAGTCATCCTATGCATTTAGTGTAGGCCCAGATTCATCTATAAATTTGGGCGGCATGGCGGATCAATTACGCCAAACAACATGGATTCATTTGGCCAGAAATTTAAAACCAAACTACATAATCCCAACAATCTATCCTTTGTTGACAGAAACAGTATAATCTGGAAGCCAAGGACCAATTATCTGTCATATACAATTTAAAGTAAAAATGAGAATTATGTATACCTGTGATATGTCTGTTAGCCACTCACTACCGACACCAATGACTGCTTGAATACCTTGAGCTAGTCTTAAAGCTCCACGAGGACCCGTATTGATAGATGTCTGGACGATATCCTCCACAAGTTTCGGCAAGTTCTCCATACTATCTGCAAGAGAAAAATATGGTTAGTTTTTACATTTACTTGTTGTTTTCTGTAGAGTATCACATATAGATGAGGGAAGTTCCTAACTCCTATCAAGTAGCCAAAAGTGTACTTCGTCTAAGAAATGTAGGAAGCCTGAAAACTAACAGAAATGTAACAAAAATCATCAGAACTTGAAAATTTTAGTACATTCACATTTGGCCAGACGCCAGCAATGGTCTTTGGTTACAATGAACAATGAACATTGTGTGATTCAAATATCAAAGCCTCATCATGAACATGTTAAGCAGATTGAATGTTGTTCTCTTAGTTTGTAAGGAAAATTACACATGCAACATAGATATTTATCTTTAGTGAGATGGCACCGCCCCTGTCAAGGGTTTAGATTCCCCTCAATCCTCATACCCTCCCCCTCCCAAAAAGAAATTTGGGAGAGTTTACTAGGCTACAACAAAGCAAAGTATAGACACACAAACTCATCTTGCAAGTACAGAAATATAGTGAAATGTCTAACATAGTTGATTATGCAAGAAAACCCTTAATAACATATAACATAACTTAGAGCAACATAGAAAAAAGGTTACAATATCTTCCTTGCTTTTAGTGTTGGAGAGATGGCAAATAGAAACCACAAATGAAGTACCTTGAAGACGAGAAGTAAAAAGATCTTGTGTTCGTGCTGATTGTGAATCTGAATATCTTGCATAAAGCCTCAACCCATTAGATCGATACTCAAGCTTCTTTGAGCCAATCAATATGCTTGTAACAGGCAACTGAGAATGAAAAGAAAACATCATTTAAAGAAGCGTCGCGTACATTCAAACACACTTAATTTTAATCTTCAAACGTCAGTTTGTTCGTGCAAACAATCGTTACTCAGAAATTCAGCTCATTTACAGAAGTTAGAAACTCGACCAAGTGAAAATTAAAATTCAGCTACCGCAAATTACTCATGTAAAGAGTTAGGTAACCAGAACATGACATACCCACAAATATCTCATCAGGAATTGAGCATAAAATCGATTTAAAAAGTTTCTAACAGAATTAAGCTCACTCGCAGAAGTTATAACCTCGATTAACTGATGTTAGAATCGCAAATATAACCTGAGATTGGTGCGGGAAAAGAGGGAAGCGGTGGCCATGGACAAAGCCTCTGAACACTGAAACAGACGCCATGGATTCACTCTCTCTAAGCTCTGGAGGTTGTCCTATGCGATTGTGTGAATCCCAATAACTCCTTCGTTGGTGTGGTGGGAAAGTGATTGTTTCGTCAGTTTACCTTAACTGAAATACGATCCATGCCTCCATGGAATTGGGTGGGGCAAACATTCACACCGTCAATGCAGGATCGTAAACAGCTTGCGAAAACCATTTGACCACGTGGCCTTATTTTACTGGTCCCTATGTAAACTAACTACTAGTATAAAATTTATACATGAAATTACAACTATTATTGTTATAAAACTTGTTTACTTTAATAAACCCGTTCTAGATAATTTTCCAACGATCTTATAACAAAATTTAACGGTAACCAAAATTTTATATTTATTAGTATAAAAGATATAGCAGTTGAACCACAAGGGTAATGTCTGATTGGTTTAAGCTTGACTCCAAATATCAAAAGTACCAGTAAGTCACAGGTTCAAATCCAAGGAGGAATAAAAATCTCATTGTGGCCACAAAGGTTCAAATTTGATACCTTTGATGAGAAAATAAATTGTTCAAATTTAGTGTTATAATGAAGAAAACTGTAGGCTAAACAGAAGTGTTATACAAAATCATTATATTTCATTGGTTAATAAAGGAGGTCAAATCCAAAATGTTATATTAAACAACCCAACAAAAATGTGAAAAATACAAGAATCGCGATAGTATTAGAATTAGAATTACGCGTCCGTTGATCGCAGTTTTCCGTGTTTTAAGAATCTTCTATTTCAGAATCTGACCCTGTATCCGATTGCGTCTCCACAGGTATTCTTCTATTTGTGTTGGCTTCCAGTGGGGGCAGCCCATCGTCTTCACTAGAATCCAACTCATTTTCCTCTCTTGTGGTTGAACGGTTTCTTTGAGTGTTTCCACTGGAACTGTCCAATATAGTCGATTTGAAGATTTCTGGCCTGCATTAATAAGCAGCATTAGGGGACAAACTCTATGATACTAGCAATTCGAGTATTTGATTAACAAACCGATATCGACACTTACATTGTAAATCATCAGCCAATTTGGATTATATTTAACGTTCAACGGATCAAATAGGTTAAGCTTATAACTTAGCTAAAAATGAAATGAGCCAAAAGTCACCCAAAGTGTATTCAAATGCTTACAACCTCCAAAACAACTTTACTATAAAAAAAAAGGATTATTACATTAATAGTATAGCTTTTTTAAGTATTCAATGTTTATATATGGCAAATACTCATGCTGTCATGCACACTCCCTACCTTTGGTGAGGCTTGAACCCTTGACCTCAGGGTAGTAACCCGGGTACAGCCGGGCCGAAGACCCTTTATAAAATTACTAGAATGGTACTCGCACAATGCAACAAGATACATCTCGATTTTAATGTTTCGTTTTTTTTATCTCAGTCAATGTTATAATACAATTTATGTGGTTTTGAGACTGTCAATATGAAAATATCATATGAAATGAAAAAATATTGATACTAGTACCAAACTCACTATTTAAAAAATTTCCTTTTTTTCCTGTATTTCTTTAATTTATTTTCTTATTTTTGGTTTAATAATATAGTTTTTTATAAAAATAATAATTAAGTATTTTGTTAGAATTCAATGATTATCCTAATTATATTTTAGATTTTTTATATTTAAAATGAGATGTTTATCCTCTATTTGATTATGTTTATCTACAGTTAGTTACACGAATTCAAATTTGAAGCTTTAATAAGTTGTACTTATGCACAGTTTACTTGTAATCTTGAATTTTAAGTAATATGCATAAATAAACAGTACTTCATGCATAAAAAGTAGTTTTTAAAAGTTTTTGTCAAATGCTTTATAATATAGTATAGATAGAATGGGTAAAAAATTGTTTGCATACCAACCACGCATTTCTTGACCCTTATTTAAAACTTAAATATTTTGACCCGTTAACCAATCCGTTCGACCCACCATTTTGCCACCTATATGGTAACAACTTGCAAATAAAGTATTTCCTTTGGGACTACAGGTATTTAGGTTCTAGTTATTAACATGTGATGAACTAATGATCTCAAAAACAGTCCTATTTGTGACCCAAGCAAAAGAAAACCAACATTCACTTGGTAAGTCAATACAGAAACTAACCATTCTGGAGATTTTTGTAATACTCTGACTTGTTCATGGAAAAGAACTTGAAGAACAACGCAGGCCACTTTTCTTCCTGATTCAACGGCCTCCTCTCTCCCACTATCATCAACCACAACAAAACTGCCTGTGAAATTTTGCAAAAGAATTATAAAAAAAAAATACCACAGCAAAAATGTGTATTAACTTGCATGTTTTTTTCCTAAAAAAGAAATTATAATGAGATATGGTGGTATACAATGGTTGCTATGACTTGCCCTTTATATATATACATACTCTCACATATACGTGTGTGTGTGTGTACATGTTATATGAATGTAGTCAGGGTCATATGTGAGAAATTTTCGCTTTTGTGAGAAGGTGAGAACAAGTGGAGATACCTTTATATTTACATTATATTGTGTGTAAGATTGTAACTTGTACATCACCTTCGTCTGTATATTGGAATGTTACATTATATTGTGTAAATGTTGTAACATTCACACAAGGTAAATGTATCACTACGGTTCTCACAACAAACCTTCACATGATATAAGGACATTTTTCACTTTTTCTCATGTTTTCACGAAAAGGGGTTGTTCCCAACTCTATAAATGTGTGTGCATATGTATCCTCAATCTGGTAAATAATTATGTAGATGGGTCTGAGTTACCTCGTTTTATCCACATGCTTTTCTGAAATTTAGCTGGGAAAAATGCCAATGCTTTTTCTCCTTTGGCATCAGTTACCTGAACTTATAAAGTATCAGATGAAAATGAAACAGTCAAGTATCGAAACAGGTACGAGTGATGGAGATGTGGTTAATAGGCATTGCTATACCTCGATTGAATTGGATCCTCGCAGAGAAACGACTTGCATAATGCTTTGGCCTGGTTGAAGAGTTAATGTCTCATCATTAACCGCCCTCTTTAGATTCTTCCTTCCACCTTTTGTAGCCATTTTTCACTTTGATCCCACTTGTAGATTATGAAGCATGGTGTACAATCAAACAGACTTCCTGTGACTACTTCTGGATCTAAAACCTCCTTAGCTGCAAATTCATTGATGATGCAGCATGAACATGGTTAATTTGCAATCAAAGCTGAACAATCACTATTACGCCATGTTAATCTTCTTGATGTTGGGCAGGTTGGGTAATACTACCATTTACCTTTATAAACTTGTGTTAGATTATCCACTTTTCTAATGTCTTTTGCAAATCAAGTTGTATGTAGTAAAAACTTTGGCTCAGAAACGGTTAAATAATTCATTAATCATGCTCTAACTTCTAACACAAACTTCAAATCGCGAACGCTCTTAAGTCTTACTCGGATTAGGTCATTACTTCTCAATGGAATCAAAAATCAATGTAAAATAGTTCAGCAATTTCCAGTTTCGATAAACAAAACCAATCAGTCTTCTCTAATCACAAGAAATCAAATCAATTAACCAAGTAATCAACCATGGCTAAATCCCTATATCTTAATCTGTCACATTCACAATACCACTTAACAATGAATTCCAAAAGAACTGCAGTAAAACCCTAAAAAATGAAAATACCTGCTGGTGGTGGTGATTTTTTTGAAGTCTTGAAGAATGACGTTAGAGAGGACTTCACTCTTCGGAATATTGGGTGTTTGGTATTTGATGCTTTGAGCCTTTCGGAATGGAGGTTGGTCCGCTACACACAGTCACTGGCCCACTTTGGATGCTGGGCTGGATTTGGGGTTGGGGCCTTGGGCTGCAGAGTAGAAAGGCCCAATTAAAAATAATAATATACATTTGGCACTAGAGAGCACTTAATAGAATTAGACATCGTCAAAAATCAGTCTCGGTCACTTACGATATCAAAACCAGTTATACATAGGTTTGATCTTTATCGTAACCGGTTTTGGATTGTTAGTCCTTAACCGGTTCTATAGATCTCGATTCTTATTCCGGTCTCGTGCTGGGCCGAACCTACTTTTATGGAAGGTAGAACGTATCCATGCAATAAGTCTTTTTATGGATTTATGTGCTTTTGAGATAGTGATATAATCTTTGTTGGTTATTAGTTTTATGAAGTATTTTATTGTATTTGTAAAATCAATATCCATCTTGTATTTGAATATGTTTATCAATGGCTTATGAGTTAAAACACATTAATAAGTTGTAATCGTATAATAATACTAGAAGGATACTCGCGTAATACAACGAGATACATATTGATTTTAATGTTTTGTTTTATTATCTGTCTCCATCGATGTTATAATACGGTTTTATGTGGTTTTGAAAAAACAATAATGTTTTTATTTTTGAATAAAATATACATTTTAAGATATTATAAAATTTTGAAAAAATATATATTGAAATTAGTATCAAATTAACTATTTAAAAGTTCTTCTTTTGTGTAATTTCTTTTTATTATAATTTAATTTATCGTTAATAACGAAGTAATTTATTTTTGATTGTTAAATATATTTTATAAAGATAATAATTAAGTATTCTGTTATAACTCAAGAATTATCCTTGTTATATTTGAGAATTTTTACATTTAAAATGAAATGTTTATCCTTTATTTGATTATGTTTATCTGCGATTAGTTACAATAATTCAAACATTAAGCTTTAATAAATTGTACTTAAGTATAATTTACTTGTAATCTTGAATTTTAAGTAACGTGCACCAATAAACAGTACTTCATGTATAAAAATTGGTTTTTAAGAGTTCTTTATCTATATTGATATAATACGGTTTGTGGTTTTAATAAAACAATAATGTTTTGATTTTTGAATAAAATATAAATTATAAATATCATAAAATTTTAAAAAAAGTATGTAATATTAGTATCAAATTAACTATTTAAAACTTTTGGTTTTGTGTAATTTCTTTAATTTAATTTTTTTATTATAATTTAATTAACGAAGTAATTTAATTTAGGTTTGATAATATAATTTTTTATAAATAAAATAATTAAATATTCTGTTAGAACTCAATGATTATCCTAATTCTATTTTATATATTTTACATTTAAATATGATATGTTTATCCCGTATTTGATTATGTTTATATGTAGTTAGTTACACAAATTCAAACATGAGGCTTTAATAAGTTGTACTTATGCATAATTTATTTATAATTTTGAATTTTAAGTAATATGCATCAATAAACAGTACTTTATGCGTAAAAAAAATATTTTTAAGAGTTTTTGCCAAATGCTTTATAATATAGTATAGATATAGATATAGATATTGTAAATGTTGTACAATACAATAAAAATATTATATAACTATACTTGCTGAATGTATTATTAGTCATTTAAAATTTCAAAATTAAAGAGAATATAATACTAATTTTTGATATAATCTGTTTACTTAAAAAATTATTTATATTTAAGATAATTTATATTTTTTTAAATTGATATAAACACGTAAGTTTTCAGAATTATACCGGTTCATATAGAAAAGATAATACGAGTTTTTAAAATCCATTGAAAGTTTTTGTAAAAAAGTGAAATATTTTATATGAATGATTGATTTGTAAATTATGTATATATTGATTTGATAGGAACCAGAAGAGTCATCGTATAATGTATCAAGACACATCTCAATTCAATGTTTTGTTTTATTCTTTATCTATATCGATATAATACGGTTTTTTATGTGGTTTTAAGAAAACGATAATGTTTTTATTTTTGAATAAAATATAAAATCTAAAATATTATAAAATTTTAAAAGAGTATATGAATATTAGTATCAAATTAATTGTTTAAAAGTTTTTGTTTTGTGCAATTTATGCAATTCAAATTTTTTATTATAATTTAATCTAGATTTAATAATATAATTTTTTATCAAGATAATAATTAAATACTTTGTTAGAACTCAATGATTATCTTAATTTTATTTTAGATATTTTATATTTAAAATGAGATGTATACACTATATTAGATTATGTTTATTTGTAGTTAATTACACGAATTCAAATATAAAACTTTAATAAATTATATTTATACATGATTTACTTGTAATCTTTAATTTTAAATAACATGTATCAATAAACAATATTTTACATATAAAAAATAATTTTTAAAATTTTTTATCATATATTTTATATAACTTTGGAACTTAAACCAAGGTCGTTTGATTTGAGGGTTTGTTCAACTTCAAAAAAACATAATCTTGAATAGAAATCATATTCGGTAACCCGGTATCTGGTACTCAACCGTCTTGGTTCGCAGTGGCTCTCCGTCACGGTTCCACCGCCCCCGTAAGGCTATCCAATCGGCGGACCAAATTCTTCAACCTTATCAGAAGTACCCCCTCAATCTTCTGCCTAGTCTCCGGGTCCGGATGCAACATATACAACCAACGTATACATCTCTCTTTTTTCTCATAGAAGTTATGTACGAGTTGAGTCGGTAGAAATTGATCACGAAGCTGCTTAAAATTTCCATGGTTTTGATGTCAAACGTGTTGGTGTTCATCTTTAGAATTCGTTAGTTTTGCAACGGAGAACAAAATATAATTACATTGAAGTTCATGATTTGTACCAATTTTATGTAAATTCTGCATTTGAAAAGTACTGTTTTTGGTTTTGACATAAAAATTTCAAGTGTGGTTCTTTCTTTCTGTATGAGCTCAATCGAGATGTAATACAGAGCTCCGAATGTTGGCTTAAATCAAAATTTAGCTAGTTTTAATTTTCTCTTTTTTTGAATAACGAGGATCTAATCAGAGAAATTGTAATTCTATACGTTATATACTCACCGGTAGGCGCTTTTAAATGCAAATGACTAGAGTGGATTAATTAATGAAAGATCTGAATTTGAATGTTTGAACTTGGACTAGCTCGCTTGTTCTTTTGCTTTTCCCTAATTGGGATATCAGGCTTACTTTGTTGTAATATATTTACTACAGATTTGAAGTTGGTAGCTGAACACTAGAGAAAACTTCTATACCAGGTTCAGCTAAAGTATACCTGGAGCTTCGATTTTTTCCTTGAGAAGTTCAAGATTTTTCTCACTGATGCCACTTTGGTAAGTAATGCGTCCACTGTGATGGGTAGAAAAAAGCAGATCCGGCCTCGTAGGGCAGGAGGCAATGTTGACAGTGGTGGTGTTTCTAAAGAGGGTTTGTGTGATTCAGACGCAGCTCAAACTGTTGAAAATGAGTTTTCTGGTCACGACCATCCTTTTTATGTTGAAGTTGATAGGCATAACTGGGTTTCAGAAGAGCATTATGACATTTCGGAAGTGCTTCTGATGAATTTGAATGTAAACGGAGAGTTTCAGGATACAAAACATAAGGATCAACATTGCTGCAATGATGAGAAATATGGCTTAAGGTTTCGATTGAGCAATGTAAATGAGTTTCTTGCTCGAATGAAACTAGGTCATTGGCCTGTCCTATCCGCTACTGATATTTATCTGGAATTTGTTGAGAAGAGAGAATCAATGGACATAGAACCACAGGTGATGGTAACTGGGAATTTTGATGGCCCAAGTGAAGGTGTTTCAGGGCTTGTTCACTTGGTTAATATGAAGTTTTTGACTTTGAGGCCTATTATGGGGTTGAATTTTTCAGGGGACTTGTCATCTATTAGATTAAGAGTAGAGATACAGAAGTGCGCCTTTGAGGCATGTGAGTCACTTTTTGAGAATACAAGGCAGCTATGGAAAAAGAGTATGATGAATGTCATGACTTGGCTACGTCCAGAAGTGATGACCTCAGAGGTTAGATATGGATATAAGGTACCTGAAGACATGGAGATTGGACTAGAACCAAATGAAGAATCTCTTGTTAGTAGGAAACGAGCTAGACTTGATGCTTTTGGTTTTTATGAAGCAATAAAACCCTCAAAGTGAGTGTGGACAGTGTAGATACTAGACAATTATGGTTAATATGCTTATTTCATCTGACAATTTTTTTTGGCTATGTTATAACATTCGTGTGGCTTGTCTTTATGGTTGCAGGGATAACCCCGTGCTAATAGATGACATGCCTGACTTGCTTCCTGAGCTTAGACCATATCAGCGCCGGGCAGCTTTCTGGATGGTTCAACGAGAGAAAGGAGCTTTCGGACGCCTGAGAGGAAGTGAATCAAGCCAATCTGTTTCACCTCTATGCATGCCAGTGGATTTAGTTGATTCCTGCTCTAAAATATATTACAATTCATTTAGGTACAGACTCCAATGTTCCTGAATACTTGTTAGTTTTATGTTGAATCTTTATCAACCATCAGTTTTCTTTCAATATCACCTGGGTTTATATTACCAAATTAGCCTCTGTAGTGTTTGAATTTATTTTGCATTTTGTATACCCTCCTGCCTTCATGTGATGAACCATAGGCTCACAGACCATCTTCCTTATCAGTTATCACATACCATCTTCCTTATCAGTTATCACATACCATCTTCCTTATCAGTTATCACATACCATCTTTTCTTTATCAAAGGTGACTACAAGTGTGGTTTGACCATCATGCTTTCGTTGCTGTCATTGTTTTCTAACTTGGTCCTTATAACGGTGCTAATTTATTCCAAATTTCTCCTTCCAATGTGTGGATGTGCGTCTTCTTTGTTATGCATGAATGAACTCAAAGGTGGAATGCTTTCCTCTTGCTTTACGACTTTAATTGGATCTGTCAGAAAGTATAACAAATTGATTTCCATAAGATATGAACAGGAGATCGGTCATATATGCAAAATGTAGGACTAGCCAGGTATTGCCAAAAGTAGCAACTGGGACAAACAATTAAGTTGATGATCTTTCTTTAAGCTGGTAATGTACCAATATATACTTCTCATCAGGAAAGGGTAAAGGAGAACCCAGGACAGTATTTTCAGAAACCTTAGCAAGTTCTCCTATCAACAGTTACTGCCCAGGATTTATCTCCAGCAGTTGTCACACAATTTCTCTTTTCAACAGTGATTCTGAAACCTTACAGGTTCTTCTGTCTCATTCTTTGCATTGTTACTGAAGCTCAGAAGATGTTCATTAATCAAATTCAAACATAACTTGAAACATCCTTTGTTTTATTTAAGAAGGATCTAGAGGCGATCATTTGCAGGCTTGGGATGGGCACGGCCGGGCCTAACCTTTTTTGTCCAACGGGCTTAATATAGCAAACTCAAGCCAGTTTTTGCGGGCATGATAACTTGCCTTTACCCGCCCTATAAACGGGTTGGGCTTGCCCACGAGTTAACGGGTCTAAAAAATCTTTTGCATTAAAAACCCAAAACCTATATACATTCAAAATACAAAAAAATTCCAACTTAAAATACCACGTAAAAAGGTAACAATGTACATAGCTTGAGAAAAAATGAATGTCCAGAAAATGAAGCTCATGAGCAGCTGTGTTATTTGATGCAAGGAGCAGTTTACATAGTATGACAAGCAGGTTATTAGAAAAGTAGTTGTAATCCAATGTTTAACAGCAGAAGACATCATTCTTATATTTCAAAGGTCTTACTATATTTCAGTTTTCTCTCTTATAACAACCACACAACTGAAATTGTAACATGAAAGAATGAAAAGGAAAAAAAAAACACGATGAGAAGAGGACCAAGTCCTACCAAAAATCAAATAAAAGATGCTGATGGTATGGTCAATTGATCATTCTATCTATGTCAAGTCATGTATCACTGATATGCAAGCATACATGTCATTCTGAGATCTGCAACACCTACAATAAGGTGATATGAAGGAATAAACTCCAAGGAGCAAAAAAAAAGAGGAAAGGAGGGAAAAGCATGCTTCCGCTAGGAGGAATGGACAAATGACCATCCCACTTGGTAGATGATGGAGAAACAACCATTTCAATTGTTCTTGACCAAGAAATTTCTGGGTTCTGCATTCATCCAGAATTTCATTTTTTTCCTAATCTTCTGCTTAACAATAGAAGAACTATCATTTTAAAGTAGATGTTTCCTGAGTTATCACTGTGCTGTATGATTGGTTCCAGAGATTTCACATGGTGGATTTCTTCTGTGCTTTTTGGTATATTCTGTAATCTTGACTTGTTCTTTCGTTAGAGAAACGGGACACACAGTTTCCATAATATACAGAACAATAGGATTAGAGTATAAAGATTTAAGTCAGGCTAATAGCTTTTAACTTGTATCTTATCAGCTTATTGGTTTTCTCTCACTCAGGAGTTAATCTGCTTTATCTTCAATGTAAATACTCTCACCCCCTTACCAGCACAAGAAGTTTTATCTATGAAATATGTCTTCATCATTTTCTGTTTTTGTTTCCCAGCGGAAGTGTTTCATTGAATCACGAGAATTGTTCATCTTACGTTGTTGGTGGTATTCTTGCAGGTTAGTCCTTCTACTTTATGTCAGCGACTTGCATGTGTGTATTCTTAAGAAAAAAAGTACCCCTTCCTTTATTTACAACTTAGCAAAGGTTCAAGCAGGTCATATTTCTGCATTGTTAGCAATTCCCAACTCCAATTTGTTGCAAAGGTTTTGCTTATTCTCTGTTAGATTTTTTTCTCTTTTGATAGTCAACCTATCTAAAGGAAATGTTTACGGAGAGAAAAGATGGGAATGTCAGGCCAAGTCTGCTGACGACCTCTACTTGCTAAGCCAGTGAGCTTTAGCAGTTTCTACGGAGAAGATAGTTTAAGCATGCAAGAGATTCCATGTTGTCATTGTTTTTCGTTTTTATTTATTTGTTTTCGTACATGGGATGCAAGCCCTTTGATTATCGGTGAAAGCATAGAAGAGGAGCAACTATTAACATTAGAAATCATGACTAGAAGGTCATGGGTGTGAGTCATGGAAACCTCTTTCCAAGATCCAAAGTAAGGTGGATCAGGAGTTACCATTCAACCTTTGGACATGTTTATGTTTTATGTGACACATACTTGGGACCTCGGACGGCAAACTGTGCGACTTTCATAAATCAGCTATTTTTGTATCATGCATTTTAATGTTAATGGTCTTCCTTACATGTGTTCTTATACTATTTAGAAGTGAGGAAACTGTTTCTTTGAAATTCTTGGACTGGTAGACATGAAACGTAGTCTTATAGTTTGTGCTCAATTGGTTTGACCTTTTTTCCGTGGAGGGTATGTACCTTCTCTCCATCACTAACCCTAGGATTTTTATTCAATTATCAGATGCTCGTCAAGTTCTAAAACAAGCATGCTACTATGCTTGTCTAAAGCATGAATGTTCATGGACATGCATACCTATTCACTGTTAGAAACTCAAGCATTAGCTGATTGGGGTAGCTCGTTTATGTTTTTTTTGGAGCCGTGAGTTCGTTCATTTGAATTTGTACAACGTGAAGGACAAATTTGAAATTCATAACAAAGCAAATTTATAACTCATATTCTAATTTATTTGATATGATCTATAATACTCAGCTTGACATTCAAGGATTTGTACTTGGGTTTGAACTGTTGTTGTGTTTGCCAGTTTTACATTATTGGCTTGATCGTTGGGGAAAAGTGGCAACTGTGATTGAGTTTTTTCAATTGAACATGTACTCTAGACATCGACTTTTTCTTTCTAACCCACCTTTTTTCTTTTGTTGTCAATACTTCCTCATTCGAACATTATCTATGTCTTATCAAAGGCATCCCATAATATAGTGAGCCTACATTACATGTAGAGAATTGCTGAAAAGAAGTTTGGTAAGCTTTTGGTATCGTTTCATGGCTTGGAACGATAGAAGTATGGAATTTGGATTCCTGTGGTTATCCTTTGTCCAGTAGGCAAAATGCATTATAGTGGCCCTGTGAATCTTGCATGGTGTGGGTGGGATTTTTGAGCCATCATCTTGGAATAATACCTATTTTTATTTTCGTTTCTTTTATGTTTTGCTTTATTCTTTTTTTGTTGTTGGGGGGGGGGGGAGTGTGGTTGGTTGGGTAACAGCTCAGAGGTGTACGAGCACCATGTGTATTTCGCCAAGCATTCGGGTGAACCTAAACATGATTAAGGTTTTTAATTCTAATATTTCAAGTTTTCTTGATGCTGCTTTCATTGCTCTGTGTTTATGATAACCACAGATGAGATGGGTTTGGGAAAAACCATTGAGCTACTTGCTTGTATATTTGCACATAGAAAATTGGACGCTGAAGCTGATGATATACAGGATGAGACGATGCAAGTTGCTGGAGAGCAGAAATTGAATGTAAGAAGAATGAAAAGAGATCGTGTTGAGTGTGTATGTGGGGCTGTGAGTGAAGGCTCCAAGTACAAAGGTTTGTGGGTACAATGTGATGTCTGTGATGCTTGGCAACATGCAGATTGTGTAGGCTATCCAGATACTGGAACAAATTCAAGACCAAAAAAAGATTATAAGTTACAAGGGGATAGAAAGAGTCTGACTGGTGATTCACGAAAACGCAAAAGTAATAGGGGCTCCAAAATCGTTGTCTGTGATGAGGATTATATTTGCTCACTTTGCTCAGAACTAATTCAAGCAACTAATTCCCCAGTTGCTACTGGTGCAACTCTTATAGTATGCCCCGCGCCTATATTGCCTCAGTGGCATGCTGAAATAATTCGGTAAACTCTCTTTTGCATTGTCTTTCTCCTTGCATCTCTTTACAGCATATGAAGCTAAATCTCCATGTATTGATGGTAAAAAAACTTACAGGTTAGACCTTGATGCAATAAGTTAGAACATTTGGAATTCAAATATTGAATTTCTAGTGTCTATGGTTCTCTATAAGCCTGATGAGGGCAGTAAGATTATGCTGCAAATGCAAGCATGGTAGAAAAGTGTTTATAAGTTTCAAAATGCAGAAGTAGTTGAGTTCTTTATTTGCAAGATCATAAGGAGGTCCTCTACTATGTTGAAGCATTAAAAAATCTAGCTGGTATTGTGCAGCAAGCAGAAAACTTGTTATTCTTGTATAAAATTTTTGTTGAGTCCGATTATTTGGAAGGAAACATTCTTTTCTTGTTCCCTATTGGTTATCTTTTCTTTGTTTTTTGGTAGCGTACTCTTAGCTCTATAACCGTTTGATTAGCTTTATTGGATGCCTGGTCATGTAAATCTAACTTATTATGTTCCTCGTTTCTTCTCTATTAATTTCTTTTGCAGTCACACAAGTCCAGGTTCACTAGAAGTTCTTGTTTATGAAGGCGTTAAAACTACTTCACCTTCTATTACATCTGTTACAAAACTTGGTGAACTGCTTAGTGCTGACATTGTCTTAACAACATATGATGTGCTTAAAGAAGACTTGTCTCATGACTCCGATAGGCATGAAGGGGATCGCCGTCTTATGAGATATCAGAAGAGGTATTCTTATAACTCTTCTGTTACTTTTTCACTTATCCAGGTAGACCTAATTTTTGTTCATGTGATTCATTTTTCTGTCCTGGAGGGGATAATGACCCATAACTTAGACATACGAAGAAACTACAGAATCAGTGAAAAACGATGAGCAAAAGATTGTGAAACCACTGCGTGAGATCTCAGGACTGGGATAAACAGTAAACCGGAAAACTTATTTTTTATTTTGTGGTTTAAGGTTTACTAGTTGTGTACCCGCGCAATGCGGCGGGAGCCATGAATTTTAACGATTTTGAAGTTCCACTGGTTTTATAAGATAAGATTTAACGATGATATAGGTTACACTTGGTTTTTACATATTAATACAATTTGAATAAATAAGAGTTATGGTTCCAATTACAGACTATCGATGAAAAAAATTGTATGACAGTTTAAAATCCAATATATTTAAAATCCAACATATTTAAACGACTCCACAAATGTATTCGATTTACACCAAGAGCAAAGAACCAAGAAACTTGAGTTTTAAGATGAACACTCAAAACCAATAAAAAAAACTACAAATTTGACAGATCATAAGCCATGAAAAGACAAAAAAAGATGGGTTTTAGAATGAAATTTCAACTGCTTACCCTCTTTCTTATCCAGAAACTCAGATTAAGGTTGAATTATTACATGTATATATATATTTAAAAAAAACCTAAGAACATATTAATTCAAAACATATTATACAGTGCAATTTGGACAGCCTAACCCCAAAATATATAGTATATATATAAATAAATAACTATAAAAGTATAAATCGTAAATATTAAAAATATTTTTTCACAGTATATATAATATATAATAATATAATTAAGTCAAAAACTATTCAATATTGGACTCATTTCGAAGGTATTAACGAGACGATTATAATGGTGTAACTTGTTWAAATAAAAATGTATTTTTTAAACATGTTTTAATTGTATACGATTATGTATGTTAATTTGATAAAAGTTTAAAATGAAACATTTAAAAGTAAAGGACKTAAAGTTAATTAATTAATTAATTATAGGGGTATAAAATGTAAATTTAAAATTATAATTTTAAATAAGAGGGTGAGTGTATGTGAGGGGGTGAGTGTATGTGAGGAGATGAGGGGGTGAAAAAGTGAGTATAAAGGGTATTTTGGTCATTTAGTATTTTAAGACTTTAAGACTTTTGCTAAATTTGCTTAATAAGATAGTATAGATGATACACTTAGAAGTCAGAAGTCATCATGACCAATGATTGTAGCCTCAGTATTTCTGCATCTTAAATTGTCTGTGATTGATGGTCTTAAGCCTTTTTGTTAGCCACATTGATTACATAATGTTCTTTCCCATCCCATGTTTTGTCGATCGTCATACCGGACAAGGTATAGCTGTCATGATTTGTGGAAGAATGTTTTGATTGGTAGCTAGCCTTTGCTTGCAGGTACCCTGTCATTCCAACTCTTCTCACTCGAATATTCTGGTGGAGGCTTTGTTTGGATGAGGCCCAAATGGTGGAGAGTAATGCTGCTGCTGCAACAGAAATGGCTATGCGGCTACCTGCTATGCATCGTTGGTGTATTACAGGAACTCCAATACAGCGAAAGCTAGATGACTTATATGGGCTCTTAAGATTTCTCAAAGCAAGTCCATATGACGTTCTTAGGTGGTGGGTTGATGTTATTAGGGATCCTTACGAGGTAATAACTAACTTATGGGACGTGCAATGAGGTCATTTAGAGCTTTTAGTTATTTATTATGTTATCTTAATCACATACTTAAAGGTATGCAATCGTATTAAACATGCTATGAGTTCATTTATCTCCGTGGGTCGTACTTTATTTATTTATTATATTTGAGGGTGTAAGCTATTAGCAAGCACAGAGAAGTTGTCATTAGCAATCGCTCAAATTGTAGTATGTGAGAAAATGTGCTTCAAGGTTTGCACTCTGGGTGCTTGCTGCACAAATAATGTGCAGTGACTGCTAACATTCTTCTTCTCTGTCTTTTGATAAGCAAGTCTTAGTGGATAGAATAGATATCGTTATCTGGAATCTGGTTGTGTTATATGTGTTTTTGTGTACCATAATATCCTGGATGAGTCTCGGAATCTTATGATTTGCCTTATGCATGAAGTCACTAAACCACATTATATCTATATTTCAGTTTTGAATGTTTTTTGGTTTTTATAAGAAAAAACTCTAGTGAATACCAGTAACAGTAGATTTAGAAATTAAGCCTCATTAGAGCAAATAAGATAAATCTGATTGACTAGCTAGATGCATCGCCTTATTCATTTTAATTGGCTTGCTTCTTCTGCTGTACTTTACACTTCCATGTGATTGCTTTTGAGATAAATTTTTAATGTCCCTCCTACAATGACTGACACGCAATATTGCATCTTTGCGTTGCTTGTTTCATTCCTTTCAAAAAGTATTTTAATGGTGATCCTAAGAATTTCTGTTAGAAGGTTGCATTCACATTTTATGTCATTTCAACTACTCATCTTAATTTCGAAATATTACTCATACCTTCACAGCGAGGAGATGCAGGGGCTGTAGAATATACTCATAATCTCTTCAAGCAAATAATGTGGCGATCCTCAAAATCACATGTTGCTGAAGAGTTGCTTCTGCCTCCACAAGAAGAATGCCTCTCTTGGCTATCCCTCACACCAATCGAAGAGCACTTCTACCAGAGGCAACATGAGACTTGTCTGACATATGCTAGAGAAGTTATTCAGAGTTTTCAAAGTAATATTTCTGAAGAACAAGCTGCAGGTTATTGACAAGTTCCCTGCAGTTTATACTTTGATGAAGGGTGGCTAATAATCAGCTATAAGTATATAAATAATACGTCTGTTTTACAGGCAATGTTTCATCGGATTCTGTCCTTACTCATGTGGAGGCTGCAAAGCTGTTGAACTCTCTCTTGAAGCTACGGCAAGCTTGTTGTCATCCCCAAGTAGGAAGTTCAGGCCTACGTTCTCTCCAGCAGTCTCCCATGACAATGGAGGAGATACTAATGGTTGGCTCTGTTATTCTTTTTGATTATTTTTCTAAAAGGATATGACTATTATTTGTACAAGTACATTATTTTGTTGTTTATCTTTTAAACAACTTCCTTTTACTTAGGTTCTTGTAGGTAAGACTAAGGTAGAAGGCGAGGAAGCCCTGAGGAAGCTAGTTGTTGCATTGAATGGACTTGCGGGGATAGCTATTATTAAACAAGATTTTCCTCAAGCTATATCATTATATAAAGAAGCACTTGAATTAGCAGAAGAGCATTCAGAAGATTTCAGAGTGGACCCTCTGTTAAACATTCACATACATTATAATCTTGCTGAGATACTCCCTTTGACCAGTGTTGAGTTAAGTAAACATAATCCTGGATGTTCTGGTCCTGGAAGATGTGAAGGTAACATATGCCTGACATGTGACGGCAAAGAATATGATCAACATGATATTAAGACAATAGACGTGAGCCAGGAAGATTTAGATTCTACTATTTCAACTGGGTCAGATGATGAGAATAATACTGTGGATGGGCAACATTCCATGTTTTCCAGATCTACCAGTTACCAATCATTGCAGAAGACATGCAATAGTTTAAAACAAAAGTTCTTGTCCGTGTTCAATTCAAGATTGTTTGTGGCTCAGCAGGAATTCAGGAAATCATATGAGCTGGTAACTTTCTCCAAGCTTTTTGCTTCACTTCAAAAAATATAAAAATATTCAAGTAGAATTTCTGAATTATATGACAAGCCTGTTACTGAGGATTGCTTATGCACAAAATATTTCACCCTTGTTGACAACCTTTTCTTGATTAAAATGATTTACCCAGGTTCCAAAATTATGCAACAAGTTCCCTTGCCATGCCTCAAAAAATGCCAATATTTTGGTCTTGGCAAAATTTCAATCCAAAGTTACCATCCTATGCCTTATTGACAATATTGATTTTGGTCCATAAGATTTGCATACTTGGGTATTTTATATATTTGCATAACAGGCCAATGCTTCAATTGAACTATGTGCTAATCAGACATTTGTTTTGGGATGGAGAGAGTATTACATTTCTGAAATTATATTGCATGTATGTCGTGTGCTATTTTCCCTGCAGAAACGTCTTCAGCATGTGATAGTTTTTACCCTCACTCTGGTCCTATAAACACAGAGCTAGATCAAAGTCAATATTATGCACCGGATTCTGATATTTTGTTTAGTAACAGCTAAATTTCATGAACTGAAATCATGGATTCATGAATCTGTCCTGTGTTGCTTCATAACTCTTTTTCAAGGTTAATAAGGCACTTCATGATAGAAGAACACATCATACTGCTTGGTGGGCTGAAGCCCTGCAATATATTGAGCAAAACAAGGATTCTTCAACAGATTTTATCAGAAAGATAGGGGATGCAGTCTCTGGGACTCTTAACACTTCAAGAACATCAAGACTTGCAGCCTGGTTTGTATTAATTTCAGTTTTTTATTGGGTTGTAATAGTTTCAGACTTTCAGTTCTTTTTGCGTATTTTTGGTGCACTAATGTTGCTTTGCTGGTTGTGATTGCATAACCTCTGGAATGTGCATTTATGATAGATACTCAAGTTAGACTTAAAGTTCATCATATAAATGTTACCTTTTACATCAACAAAGAGTTATTAGTTGCTGATGGAATATATACATTTAGATACATAAACTAATGTATTTGGTTGTCCTGAAAAAATATGGAGCTCATGTTTTTTTTTCTATTTCCTTATAATCCTTGTGATCTAAATGTTTATTTTCTTCGTTTAGTCTTGTTCATATGTTCTGTATCCATTTGGTTTCAAACAAGTTGTCTTCTCAGTTTCATACCATCAACCATGTTTCCATGGATTCCATCTATTGATTCGGTTGATGAATGTGTCATAGCTGCGTTCTCTTTTTGGTCATTTTAATTGAATTGAAAGATTCATAAGCATCAAGTTTCCCTGTCCATTTTTTTGTGGTCTAACTTTTTTCAAGTGGAGAAAAGAAAGATATCATTATTACCATGAATTCTGAATGTTAGTTGTTCAATAAACCACAACTTAATGGATCTTATGCTGTCTAATTGATGATCTGCTACTTACCTGTTCATAACCAACTGTTTATTTATCCATGCCTACACTACGCTTATCAACTTCAATTTTGCATGGTTAGTGTTCTGTGTTTGGTAACGAAGGTGGGAGGAAATTTTTATTGGTGTAGCACGTACACTTTGAAATGGGACTTATTTTCATAAACATACTTCCTTTTTATTTTCTTTTTTTCAGCTTTAGGAGCATAACTGCTCTCAGGTATTATATCCAGACTGGTTTGGATTCATTGGAAGACTCTAGGAAAACTTTACTGGTTAGACTTCTGCAACTTGACCAGACCATGGAAAATCCACGACAAGAGGACGTAGAACGTGTGAGATACTGTCCAAACTGCCAAGTTAATGGAGACGGCCTCATCTGTGTACACTGTGAACTAGACGAATTATTTCAGGTTTCTAGTCGCATTAAAATCCGTTACCTGATTTGGAAGTGGTACATTTTGTTGAAGTAGGAAGCTGATATCTTTTGTAATCTCCTTGCTTATTGTGCAGGTTTATGAGGCCAGACTGTTTCGGCTTAACAAAGGACGTGATGGAGGGGTGATCAGATCTGCTGAGGAGGCTGTAGATTTACGGAAAAAAATGTCTGCGCTAAACCGTTTCTATTGGACTTTGTCACAACCTGACAAAGCTTCACCTCCTTCAAGTTATGAAGATGAAGGGAAAAAAAGAGATGTTGGGGAGAAGGTTTTGGTGAGTGTAGAACTCCTTTTAATCTCTTATTTGGTTATTTGTTTTGGATGCAAATTAAATCTCTTAATAACAAATGTGTTTTACCTTGATTAGGAGATTTCAGGAATCTGCAACTTATATCTTCTTGAGATTCTGTATATATTATTCAAATTTGATGAAGTTTTTTAAAAGATATGATAGTCATACCGTCTTAAAGAATTTTGATACAGCCTAGCGGTTCCGACCCATATTCCATTAGTAGGCTAGGGCAACAGCTTTATGTTTTTCTGTATATACGTAAGAGTATTACTTTCAGTTGTGATGCATTCACTGTTTGGAGCTACCTTTTCTGTTCTATTATCCTCAATAAGTTATATCTGCTTGAGCTATATCTTCACAATGCCTTGCGGAGAAGTTTCTTGCATCTTTTTCATGAACTCCAAGTTCCTTTCGCACCTTAGTTGGATGCATTTTCCTTCCAGAATTCATGCTACAGGTATTTTATGAGATAGCTCAGAGAAGTCCATTATTTGCTTCATAATGTTACATTATTCCTGTGTAGAGGCCAGTAATATGTAATAAATATCTACACGTCCAGTGATCATAAAATGAATTTAGTTTATCATATTACATATTATTTTCTGAAGTTGGATTGCAATCTGTGTCTAGATGTAAATATATTAATGATTAATGTATTAACAGGTTTCTAAATCTCCTTCAGAGCTGGAAGTTGTTCTTGGGATTATAAAGAGCTATTCGAAGGGTCTACTAGACAAAGAAGCTATGTCAGCTGCCAGAAACCATCTATTTATTCTTGAGGTATGGGATCCTTTATTTCTTAATAGCAAAAGGCTATATAGATACCCAAGATTTTGACCTTTTGTTATATGTAGTTTCCTACTTGGTTTTTCATCAGATTGCGGTGATGTCTATTTCCGTCTTTTTTACTTTTTTTGAGGCCTTGGGGGAAGACATGTTTGTGGAACAGAATTTGGGATCTTCAAATATATATTTGATTTAAATGCATGTGGTGCCCATAATAGATGTGTCGGTAACTTTTTTCCTTTACTTCACAATTCATATGCATTATGAATTGGCCTTGTTATCTTCTATCTATATGTTTCTTCTTTCTTGTGATTCTGTTCGCGGGTAACTGCTTCCCATATTTACATGCTACTTTTCTTAGGATACTGATTTTTTTGCTTTGCTCACCCTGGCCATCACTATAACTTTCCAAGGGAATGCGTAAGGAGTATGCCCATGCAAGGTCTTTGGCAATTGCTCAAGCTCAGGTTCTTAATGCTCATGATGAAATAAAGATGGCAACCTCACGATTGCGGCTGAGAGAGGATGAGGATGATAAATCTATCGACGCTTTAAGTCTTGAAGAGTTAGAAGCAGCAAGCGTCGAAAATTCTAGTGAAAAGTTTTTTGCCTTATCCTCATTATCACGTATAAAAGGGCAGCTTCGCTATTTGAAGGTATCAATAGCATAGTCATATCCTTATACCCAGTTTCATGTTTATTTCATCACTGCATCTATGAAAAACTGTGAAATATGCTAAGCTTTTACCATGCCTTGCAAGCACCTTCTGCTCTTTGGTACGTTATACCTCAGATAAGCACTGGTATATTCTCTGATGCACTCCATAATATCATGTTCTGTTCTCCAGGGTTTGGTACAGTCTAAACAAAATTTCCATTCAGAAGGCACATGTGATCCATCCCAGGATGAAGTTAGGACGCATTCTCATGCTAATTCGCTTAAAGAGGGAGAAAAGGAACAATTACTCCAATTAGACGAGGAAACATGTCCGGTTTGTCAAGAAAGGCTCAGCAATCAGAAGATGGTTTTTCAGTGTGGTCATGTTACGTGTTGTAAATGTAAGTTTCTTATTACTTCATCAGTCTTGCATTACGTGTTAGTAACACACTTCTATGTATCTGAATGACATATGCTTATATGCCTCTCCTATGTTCTTACATAATAAACTTGGGCATGAAAAATTGGACCTGTCTCATAGCTCAATATTGGTTTTTGATTGTGGATTATTATTTCTGCTCCAGTGATCGCATTGAACCTGTCATTGAAAAGTTCATAGCTCCCAAAAGCCAATTTTTACTTGTCCATGATGATAACAACATTTACTACTTCTAAAACAGTTTCCACTAGAAAGAAATCTCTCTTTTCCATTTGCTTTCCACGGCAAAAATTGGCATTACTTTGAAAAGGCGGAGGTTAACCTTACTCCTCTGCCTATCATGCTTGTTAATTACAATTGTATGCTCAATATCAAACATCATTAAAATTAAGGATATATTATAGTATTGGAAGTTTGTAGAAAAGATGCAAGTTGGTATCCTCTTTCTGAAGAGTATCCTCCAAAGTTGGTTCTTTTGATAGACTGCTGTCTGCTGGTGAATTCCTATTAATAGTTTGTGGTAAAGAATATATTCTTTTGTCTCTTAAAGTCTTTGTGTCCTTGTTTTATGTAATATAATTAGATTGTCCATAGATATCACTTGATAATTGTATGTGAGGGAATCAAGAATGGTGCGATTATTAGTAGGTACATCCAGGTTGATCATAAATGTCTTTCTTTTTTTGCATCACATATGTGGTTCGTGGCAAAAGGTTGTGTCTTCTTAAAATTCACTCTCTTTCAAGGGTGTTGTAAGGCAAAGCACTACCCCTTCAGGTTTAAAGTAATATGTATTTGCATGCAACTTGGTTCTTGCAGGCTTTCTTGCAATGACCGAGCGGAGGAATAATTACCATGGGAAGTCTCATGAGAAATGGGTGATGTGCCCAACATGCAGACAACACACAGAAGTTGGGAACATTGCTTATGTTGATGACAGGCAAAATAAAACACCTGATGCTTCTGTTCATACTTTTAGAAGCTCAGAAGCTTCTTTGACTGTCAATGGTTCATATAGCACAAAGGTATACATTTAATTAGATGCCTTGAGGTTACAGTGTTGTCTAGAATGTTGTGCATAATGAAGTTTATACATAGGTCTATGTGCACAATTATTATTGTTGTTACGTTGGCACCTATTTGAGTCTATGAACATGATTCTTTTCTTGCCTCTTCTTCTTTATTGGCCGACTTCTCCTTCTGCTTCTAAATTTCATCTCTTTCTCTTTTGCATTGCTAAACATCACAACCACTGTTTACAGTTTGCACATCCTTATGCATATATGATATGCAACCTGCCTCAAATGTGAAATATATATTTATGTGTGTTATAGCTTTTACCAATTCTTGTAATATAATGTCTAAGGACATGCACATGCATATGATCTGTTCCTGCTACTCCTTCAGTTCCACATTTCTTCGCCTCTTGGCCTTTGATGTCAAAACCTACTTTTCAACTTCAAAACTGCTATCAATTATTTTTTAAAATTTTAAATAAAAACGGATAAGCTTCAAAAAGTACTACAAGTAGAAAAACTTTGTGAGAAAGAATGCAAAAGGACCGCATCCAAATGTCAATTGTGACTGCTGAAGTGGATGGTTGGGATATAATTTTTCAGAACAGAGGATGCCAACTGTGATGTGAGTTAGATGGACCTTTTCTTTGAGGATTTATTTATTAGATAAATCTTTGCTATTCTGTAGATTGCTGCAGTTACAAGGAGAATACTGTGTATTGGTTCTACAAATCCAGAAGCCAAAATTCTTGTTTTCTCTAGTTGGAATGATGTTCTTGATGTGCTGGAACATGCTTTTACTGCAAATGGTATTAGTTTTATCAGAATGAAAGGAGGGAGGTATGGATTCTTCGAACCATTACTCATATCTCCATGTTAATGTTGCCTTCTCTTATGATGCTTTTAGATTTAAAAAAATATTTGTCATATTGTACAGGATAATTCAGTAGCAATACGTGGTAGTTTGCACCATTGTCATTTATGAAAGTTCACACTCTATGCAATTAATGGACATTGATAACAGAACATCTGCCTGTTTGTAGCATCACATTCTAATTGTGGATTGATATGTGCAAGTTGATTTTAGTTAGGAAAATGTGATTGTGAGAGGCAAGGGGACTCTACACTGGTATTGGGATTGCAAACAGAACTTGAACCCACTTGTGATGGAAAACTTGAACAATTGAGCTTGCAGCAAAAGTTTAGCAAACACCTCACCTTTAACTTCTGTGATTGAACTTTGACATTGCAAAAAGAAAACAAAAATGAAAACAAAGAAATTACAATTTGAACCTTGAAATAGATGTTCATGTTAATTTGAACTTCTGAATCACTGATGTAGAAGTTCCATAACTAAACATCATACTTCTGACAGCTGGAAATATTGCTAATTTTGTCTTTGGAAATAACTTTTTAGGAAATCTCATGTTGCCATCAGTCAGTTTAAAGGAGAGAAAGTTGGTGTAAAAACGAGCAAGAAAAATCGGCAGGCAAAACCAGATTCTATTCAGGTGATGCTGCTCTTGATTCAGCATGGGGCCAATGGGCTTAATCTTTTGGAAGCACAGCATGTTATTCTTGTGGAGCCACTACTTAACCCTGCAGCAGAAGCACAAGCAATCAGCAGGGTGCATCGCATTGGACAGACCAAGAAGACACTCGTTCATCGTTTCATAGTATGCTCCCTTTAACCAAAACTATTAGTTTTCTTTCTTTTAATCTTTATTTTACAAGCAGTCTTTCACGAAAACCATTTTCTGATACATATATGTGCGTTGTGCAACAGGTGAAAGGGACAGTGGAAGAAAGCATATATAAACTGAATAAAAGCAGGGATAGGGATAGTGGTTCGTTTATAAGCGGAAACAAAAAGAACCAAGATCAGCCTGTTTTGACGCTCAAAGACGTCGAGTCTCTCTTCAAAGTTGCTCCATCCACAATAGAACAACAGCAGAAGCCAACTTCAAATTTAATGCATTTGCCGCCTGGTATTGCCGCCGGTTTAGCCGCTGAGAGGAGGCTGAGGGAGCAAACAAGGTGAATTGGTGTGCAGAGTCATGCATGAAACTATGGTTTGTATGGGGAGTCTTTGATTGCTATGTATCCTGTAAATTTAGATGCCTATTTTGTTACATACTAAAATATTATTACAAAGATTTTTATATATTTATTTGTCAATTATTATGTTTACATCTTTGCAAGGACCATGAGCTATGACCGATCGTGAAGTGAACGACTGTAACTCACTTTGGGTAGGTGTGGTTGCCATTTTTTAACGGGTTTCTGGATAAGTTGACGAGTTGGGTTCCTCTAGAGTCTAGATGCTTTAGAGATTTTAGTCGTTAGAAAAATGCAATTGGGACCCAGATCATTAGTTTTTCAAAATAGAAACAGAAATTTGTTAAAAAATAAACCATAAGGACGGAAAATGTAATTCTCTAGCGTATATAAAAATACGAAAAAGGATATGATTATAACATTATAAAAATGTTGGTAAAAAATAGGATTTATATATATAAGGGATTATTCAATGGATAATTAATTAACTTTTGGTAACCGTGAAATCTAATGTGAATAATTTGTTTGAGATATTTAAAGATATTTTTTTAAATAAGCTAAAAAGGTAATACAATAATTTTATTTTTGACAACTAATCAGAATATTTAATTAAATTTTGTAGAAGGAAATATTTAAGTAAAATTAGTTATCTAGTATATCAATTACCTAATATATATCGTATTTTAAAGACGTTCTGAATCAAAGTGTATCATAGTGATAATGTTCACAATGTTTCACGTGTATCACAATGTATTTTTTGTTTTGTTTTATGAAATGTATCATAGTGTGCATTTTCGTTATTTTCATTGCTAAGGATTGTGCATCTTGTATGTATATTTGGATATCACAGTGTATATTTTGTGTTTATATAAGGTTCATCAGGATAAGATTCGTCGAATAAGATTCGCCGGAGAGAGGAAAGAGGAGAGATGAAAGATGATATTCATAAAATCCATAAAATGTTCTCGGTTAATATTTTAAGTTAAAACTACCAAAATAATTAATTTCCTAATTTAACTTCTGATTTGTGGTTGAGATTGGATCTCACGGTTACCACAAACAAAACAGTTCTCATAGCTGATTAGTTTGTGATAACTATGAGATCTAATCTCAACTACAAATCAATTGATAAATTAAGAAACTGACTTAAATTTTTAATTAAAGGGCATTTTAGGTATTTAATTTTTTTTATCTCTCCTCTATCACTATTGAACATGACATTCGTTTCATTACTCAAACTACATATATTTGGTCAATGAAACGAAATCAGATTTCACATTGTACTCCTTTTACAATTCATATTTTAAGAGAATAATTTAATAAAATAATATAAACTATCAATGGTAACAAATTTATATTAAAAATAATTGATTTATACCGTTTATTGAATGAATAACGTGACTCTTTGTCACCTACAATGATATATGAAAATATTTTATGAAGAGTATCACGTTGTTAATTATTTCTAATCAAACCGATTTTAGGAGTATAGTTGTACAATTAATATTTTAGAAGTATACTTTAATAAAATAATAAAAACTATTAATGGTAATAATTTTATATTAAAAACATTTGATTTACCATATTCTATATTAAAGGTTTTTATATTTACGTTTTCAAAATTAAGAATAATTATTACCTTCTAATATTAACCAGTATATAATTAAATGACTATTACACCCTTTGTTATTAAAATTAAAGAAAAGAACGGAAATTTCCTATGGATCGAAAATGGTTTTTTTAACGATGAAACATGGACAAGTAATGAAAGCCAAAGAATTTGGTTTTATTAGGAAAAATGATCTACGCAAGAGTTCCCCTTCGTTATCATAAGAACTTTCTTTTCTTTCCTCGTCTCTCCTCCTTTTCTTCATCGTATCTGTTGATTCCTCCCTCTCATTCTTGTCATGATTACAGTACTGGTTCAAGCTACCCTTCAAATCAAAGTTCCAGCGTTGGCCAACTCACTAAACTGGATGATGCCCTCCATATGTTTGATCAAATGCGTCACAGGCAACCTCCTCCTTCCATCATCGAATTTACTCGCCTGATTACTCTTATAGTAAAGATGGAACATTACTCCACAGCGCTTTCACTTTTTAAGAAATTAAATTTGATGGGTATATCAAGTGATCTCTATGCAATGACCATTGCTATCAACTGCCATTGCCGCCTTAACCAACTGACCTCTGGTTTTGCTTTATTAGCCACCATCTTCAAGAAAGGTCATCCACCCAATGTGACCACCTATAGCACTCTCATAAATGGGCTCATTTTGGCTGATCGGGTTTTCGAAGCTGTTGAGTTATTCAAGAAACTGCTTAAAGAGAATCTTTGTGAGCCTAATCAGGTTATGTATGGAACTATTATGAATGGACTCTGTAAAGTAGGTCACACTAACAGGGCCCTTGAATTGCTCAGATTCTTGGAAGAAGGCTCGTGTAAACCATGTGTAGAACAATACAATTCAATCATCACTGGCCTCTGCAAAGATGGAATGGTTGATCAAGCATTAGAACTCTTTGCCAAGATGATCAGAAAAGGTTTACCTGCAACTGTTTACACTTACAACTCATTGATTCAGGGTCTATGTATCTGTGGTCGAGAAATGGAGGCCGATCAAATGCTAAAAGATATGGAGGATGAAGGAATCTCTCCGGGGGTGCACACCTTTACGATCTTGGCAGATGCCTTTTGCAAACAAGGGTCCATAGAAGATGCAGAACGGGTTGTGGAACGGATGATACAAAGAGGTTTGGATCCAAACGAAATCACTTATAGTGCACTAATCGATGGATACTGTTCACGTGGTGAAATAGATGAAGCCCAGAAAGTTCTTGACCTCATGTTGGAAAGAAATCTTGTGCCCAACATAATCACTTATAGCAGCCTGATAAATGGATACTGCAAGAAGAAGCAAATCGATGAGGCCATGGATCTTTTTAGAGAACTCCCAGATAAGGGTTTGGTTCCTAATCTTTTTACTTACAATTGTTTGTTACAAGGTTTGTTTAAAACGGGTAATTCTGCAGCCGCTAAAGAAATCTTTAAGGAGATGCAAGCCAAGGGCTTGACTCCCGATTTATGCACTTACCGAATCTTGTTCCATGGGATGTGCAAAAACTCCCGGTGTTCTGAAGCATTGATTCTCTTTCGTTCGCTGGAAAACAATAAATTGTTGAAAGATGTAGGTTTGTATACTATCTTGATTAATGGTTGTATCAAATGTGGGAAGCCTAAGTTGGCCATGGATATGTTTGATGAGCTTTCTCTGAAAGGATTGAAACCGGATGTTAGGACTTATACGGTGATGATTCATGTGCTTTGCAAAGATGGGTTATTGGGTAAAGCAAAAGAATTGCTTGCGAAAATGGAAGAAAATGGTTGTTTGCCAAATAGCATCACGTATAATGTTATTGTTCAAGAGTTCTTGAAGCAAAACGAGTGTCGAGAGGCAGAGATTCTTCTCGAGGAAATGATCAACCGGGGTTTCTCGCCTGATTCTACTACATTTTCGATGTTGTTAAGCTTAATCCCGAGCGTAGGACAAGATTCTCCTATGCGAACTATCGTTCATAAACTAACGAGGGTTGAAAGAAGAGATGGTGCAGTACCTGATTTATCAACTTGGTCCATTTCCTCAACTTTTCAAGGTAATATCAAGGGCCAATTTGGGGTGTTTGATGATAGTTGTTGATCAGTTATTTCAAAAAGGTACGAAAAAAACTTGTTAGGATGTTTAAATTGGACATCGCATAAATGAATGCTGATTTATCGACTTAAAATGTGATAAACTACTAAATCAAGGGACTGAAATGCTATAAATAAAAAAAGAGTGAATTACACTAATGGTCCCTGTGATTTGCTCAAATTTTGGATTTGGTCCTTAAAACAAATTATCTACATTGGTAGTCCCTAACTTTTTCATTTTCATAACACCCATGGTCCTTCCATTTAACAACGTTAGTTAGAAACTTAGAATCATTGTGAATGATTAATCGGTCTTTGAACAAACTATAGAGATCAAAAGTGTAATCTGCTCTAAAATTTAATGTGATTCACGGTTTTTTTTATTTTTTATTTAAAAAATATTTTATATATCCAATCACAAATCAAATTTATTAAAATAAAGTATATATTAAATCTTAAGTTTATTTAAAATCTATTAAATTTATAAGAAAACTTAGCGTTAAAAAATCTCAAACAAAGGAAATCAAGATAAATTTACATATCTTTTGAGTTGAGAATTGAAATATGTGAACAAAATGTTGAAAATTAAGTTCGGTTGTACCAAGAGGTCTCAGGTTCAAATCCAAGGAGAAATAAAAATCTCCTTGTGGCCACGGAGGTTTAAATGTGGTAACTCTGGACTATCTGCAAAGCAAATGGTCATTCTGAGATTAGTTGGCTCGCATAACGGGTTGGATATCTAGGTTAATTAAAAAAAATTAAGTTCGGTTAATGCAAGATTATTAATATATAATCAAACTACGAATAATTAAAATAACAACGAAATAAAAATTATAAATTAAGATTAAAAATATTGATTATGCAAATTATGAAAAATCATCACTACAACAAAATTAGGTTTGTATGATGCTAAAAAAATAAGTGTCTCAATAGACCACTTTTGACCTCCTAAAAAGATGAGGTTATTTAAGCTTGAAATTTTTTAATATTATTTTTTTGTGAATTTAATAGTTTTTACATTAATATAAATATTTTTATTTAATATTTACTTTATTTTAAGAAATTTGATTTGTGGTTGGAATATAAAATATTTTTTTTAATAAAAAATCAAAAAAACTTGTGAATCACCTTAAATTTTAGAGCAGATTATACTTTTAGTCTCTGTAGTTTGTTAGACTGATTAGTCATTCATAATAGTTGCTAACTAAAATTGTGAAGTGAAGAAACCATGAATGTTATGAAAATGAAAAATTAATGACCACTTATGTAGATAGTTTGTATAAGAGACCAAATCCAAAATTTGAGCAAATCAAAGATACCACCAATATAATTCACTCTAAAAAACCCGCTAGAGAGGTGGACGAACATAAGAAATATAAAAATAATTTCAGACATATCAGTTTGATCCATTTATATATAAAAATATATTATTAATTAAGTTTTATAATTAATAATTTTAAAAAACTTGGAGGGTGCTTGATTGGGCTGTTTGGTTCTAAGTGAGGCATATGATTAGAACTATTAATGATGTTTGATAGAAGTTATTGGAGAAAATGACTTAGAATTGAGAATTCAGAGCAGGGACACCCATCAAAACGATATCATATGCAACAATTTATCTCGTAAGTGTTTATCATGATAAAAGTCGTCGTCCTCACTTATCGGGTAAAACTTTTGGTTTTTGTCTCGCTCTTAGTGGATAAATTTCTTGGTCCTTACCATATTCGATCCGTTAAGGTAATGTGACTTAATTATTGGAAAAATGAATCCTGTAAAATTAATAATATGTATAAGAAGCATTTTATAATATGTACATGGTGGAAATTATTGGAAAAATGAAGATTAAACACATGATTTATAAGAAGTATTTTCTGAATTTAAACGGTAAATTTGTACAGAGTTATCTGAATTTAATTACGAGTGACTGTTCTAATACTTCGCTTTAGGAAAGCTCTGTGACCATTAATTAAACTCAACTTTTACTTTTATCGTAAATTTCATCACATCATCAATTTATCAATCAGTTTTATCAAAGATTTTCTTATTACAGCAACATTGCTACACGAACGAACGAACGTAATGTTAAGATAAGGTATCTCCCATAACATTAATTAAACTCAACTTTTACTTTTATCGTAAATTTCATCACATCATCAATTTATCAATCAGTTTTATCAAAGATTTTCTTATTACAGCAACATTGCTACACGAACGAACGAACGTAATGTTAAGATAAGGTATCTCCCATAACATTAATTAAACTCAACTTTTACGTCTTGTTAAAATAACGGTTTTATGGATAGTTACACAACTATACTTGATACGTATGTAACATAGCATTAAGCTATTATCTAGGCTTAATCATTTAATTTGAAAATCCGTAAAACTGTGATAACTATTATCGTCAGATATTATTTTACATGATTTTTTTCCATCTAAGGTTAAAATTTAATGTATGATATCTTTCCATCTAAGTCGTCCGAAAAAATTCAAAATTTATCTGAATTCTCATTTTAATCCGTTATAATCATTTCGAAACTTTCAAACCCTAGATGAACCCCAACCCCGCGCCACCACATCCTCCGTGGTTTGCCGTCGTTTCAAACCCTTTATAAACCCCCAACGCCACCACCAAACATTCACCATCTTTTCTTGAATTTTACGAAATGGCACCCAGAAAAGACAAGAACGTCATGACTAACGATGCAGGTGAAAACGCTGCAACCAAGCGGAGGAGGATTCAAGCTATGAATGGTACGAGTGGAGTGCCATTTAGAAACCCCACTTCTACCCGTCTGGAACACTCTCCTCCGGCAGCAAGTCCGGTGGTGGCAGATGATGACGATGGTGCTTTTTCTTGCTTAATATCACAACAAAACTCCCTTATCAGCTACCATGTAAACAACCACTGAACTTCTGGGGTCTTCATGCTGTATCTAAATCATTGTTTTACTGCTTGTAATGTCTAACATTTCATATATGCAGATGAAGCAGATGCAAGTGAGCGTGGGGGAATTCTGGCGTAGAAACTTCTCGAAAGAAGTGAAGAAGAGGAAGGAGATGGAAGCGAGGCTGAAAGAGAAGGAAGAACAGGCGGGTCGGTTCAGAGAGATGTACCATTTCTACGAGGATAGGGCGTTTCTTCTAGAAGAAAAGGTGCAGAGGATGCTGGCTAAAGAGCGATGCAGCACCGCCGCCGCTCATGCCGCCACTACTAATGTGGAAGAAGAAGTTGAATCATGTGTTGTTGAAAAAAGGTTGCATTTAGCTTGCTTGAACTGTCTGGTTCGAGCTGCAACCATGGTGTGGCTGCCATGCCGGCACTTGTCTGTTTGCTTGGTGTGTGAGAGGAGGGTAAAAAGCTGCCCGATTTGCGGTGACAAGAAAACCGAAAGTTTTATGATCAAAAACTTCTGATCACAGATTGTCATTAGATTTTATTGAATTTAATATGGTCGAAAAATTACGTTTTATGAATTTATGTTGATATAATCGCGCGTATCTTTGTAATGTAAGTTTCCTACAGCGTTACGATGGGGTGTACGTATACGTATACATACGTTGTTTGCAAAAAGTACTATGACAACGATCTATAAACCGAATGTAGTGAAACTCGATGAACGCTATTACGTATAATAGCATTCTACTTTTCTAACAAATTAATTAATCGGTAATAATTGTTGGCGTAAATGCGTTTTATTTTTATGGTAAGTTTCGTCAAATTATCGAGGCTTTTTTTTTATCGTAGCAACATTGCTATATATACAAATGAACGTAATGATACGATAAGGTATCTCGCGTAACCGTAATTAACGTTTGCCGTCTTGTTAAAATGATGGTTTTTATGGATCGTTACGTGATTATGCTTGATAAGTATATATGTAGCATAAGCTATTGTCGAGGATTGATTATTTGAGAAAACATGAAATTGTGATAATTTTGAGAATTATTGCTTATAACAATATCTTTAAAATAAAAAAATTGTATTATCTGCATTTTTTATTCTTAAACTTTAAATTATTGAATTCAGCATGTTTTGATATTATACTAGTAGGGTATTCGTGCAATGTAGAGCGAGATATTTCGACTTTAATGTTTCGTTTTATTCTATTTTTGTAGAGTTTTAATACGATTTTTATGTGGTTTTGAGAAAAAATGGATAATGTTTTTATTTTTGAATAAAATGAAATTCGAAGATATCATAAAATTCCGAAAATAAATATATCAATATTAATATCAAATTAACTATTTAAAAGTTTTTGTTTTTCGTGTAATTTCGTTAATTTAATTTTTTATTATAATTTAATTTAAATTTGATAACGAAATAATTTATTTTTGATTTAATAATATATAATTTTTTATAAGGATAATAATTAAATATTCTGTTAGAATTTAATGATTATCCTAATTATATTTTAGATTTTTTTATATTTAAAATGAAATGTTTATCTTGCATTTGACTATAATTATCAGCAGTTAGTTACACAAATTCAAACATGAAGCTTTAATAAGTTTTACTTGTGCACAGTTTGTCTGTAACCTTGAATTTTAAGTAATATACATCAATAAACAATATTTTAAGTATAAAAAATGGTTTTCAAAAGTTTTTATCAAATATTTTATAATATAGTGTGTATATATATATATATATATATATATATATATATATATATATATGAGTTTAAATTTATGCAAAAATACATTTTCCTTAATATTTGATGATATTAGCTATATATTATATGAACCAATATTATTTTTTTGTTATTGTATTAAAATGAAATGTTTTATCATTAGAATTCTATTTTCTAAATCTTTATAAATACATTTAAAATAATTAAGTAATTTTTAGGAAGACTTTTTATTTGTAATGTTATTTGATGATTTTATATTATAAATTTATAGTATCATCAGTTAATTACATATATAGTATATTATATTACATTGAAACTATTAAAAATATTTCTTCAAATATAAATTAAAAATAAAATATGTCCAATTTAATGCAATTTGTCATTTAAAATATATTACGTATTTTTGGTAAAATATTCACTAAAATTTAATTATTTATTTATTAGTTTTATGTATATTTAATGTTCGTCAACAAATTTTTTACTTTTTAATTAACTGCATTAAATATTCAACATACTCAAATATCTTTATTAAAATATGTATTACAAATTTACAATTTGCTAAAGAAAAAATTACACGTCATTAAATATTTAAACTTTTTCTTCTTAAATTATTGTATTTGCTCAAATAATTAATTTCCATTTTCTTATTTTGATAAGAAAATTAATTCAAATCATATTTTCATAGTTTATATTTTTTTAATAAATAAAAGTTTGCTTATAAATATTTGTATTAATAGATGAATGGATTAGAATATCGAGAAATAATTTAGCTCCCGTTTGATTTGTAGGATTTAATGGAATTTGAAAAAATTTGAAATTCAATTTTATTCCAGTTTTATGTTTGATTTGAAAATCGTTTGGATCTGGAATCCCACAAATATGAGATTTAGAAACCCGTGTTGGTATTCTGTGGAATTTTGTAGGTTTTATGTGTAATAAATTTTCTAAAATTTGTTGAAAACATTGGCTTTCTAATGATCAATCAATAAAGAAATAATTTATTTTTTCTTAATTGTTTATAAATTATTTATAAAAAAAAATTGAATTGAATTTTGTTTCAAATTCTACAAACAAAATACACCAAAAATATATAAATCTTTTAATTAAATCCTTTTATCCAAAAGGCTAATTAATTTTGAAGTATTTTTTAGTATTAATTATTGAAAAAGAAAAACAATTAATTTGAAGTCTCCATTTAATGTATAACAAACCCATTGAATTAATTAAGGGAAATTTATTAAAATTAGTTATTTTAAGGTTGATTTCATCTTTAGCCATTTTTTTTCAAAACAGTCATAGTCTAGAAAACCACGTCCGCAATTGCGAATCCAGCTAAAAGATAAAAATAATTTACATTTTTTATCCCTGTTCGTAAAAAAAATATTTTTCACTCAGGTCCGTACAAAAATTTACATTTCTCACTCAGGTTCGTAAAAAATTTACATTTTTTACCAGGTCTGTAAAAAAGACTAAAATTGCAGACTTAGAGTTACTTTGATAAACCTTATAAGAAGTGGTTAAGACGTAAAAACAAAAGATGAAAAAGGTTATTTTAATTAATTTCACATTAATTAATTGTAAGACTTTTTAAAGATTTAATTTAGGGGAGTGCTAATGGCACCCCTAACAGGGGATGATGAATGTTTTAAAAGTTGGAATCACATTAATTTTCATTAAACTCAATCAATAACATATTATATTTTATTATTATTGTTATATTATATATATATATAATATAACTTAAAATAATGATAATATATAATAGATATATATATATATATAATTTATAAGTAACTGGTTATATATATATAAATATATTATATATAATTTTTATTTATACTATTATATTTATATTATATACATATATAGAGTATATTTCAAATGCAACCATATCTATTTGAAAGTGATTTTTATGAACATAATATAAATACAAGTTTTGATTAAATTTAATTTTTTGTAATTTTTTATCGAAACCATGCTAAAAATATAGTGAATTCAAAATATAATTATTTTTACAATAAGTAGTATTTCGAAATTCTTCGGTTATTTTAATATCATCAAGATGATATACTTTAAAAAAACTTATGAATATTTGATTATATAATAATGATCATCATTATTTTATTGTTTTGATTAATTACTTTTTTCTATAAATACTTAATTATTTAAGTTTTATTTATAATGATGCTTGATTATTATTTTGTATATATAAGACCAAAAAAAATGATTATCTATGGGTTATGGATGTCATCACTCTATACATATGCACATTTTCATCTTATGTACCTCTTCATTTTTTTTTCTTCGTATTACATATTATATAGGGTTAAATGCATGAAATAACAACGTAATTTCATAATTTTTTTTCTTATTATAGCATTCTACTTTTGTTTTTCTTTATTACAGCAATATACTTTCAAATTATTTTTTATTAAGGCATCGTACTTTAAAAAATCTACCCATTATAGCAATAAATAACCTATTACCTTTTAAACTGGTTAACCTCTTGACTTTTTTTGTTTGTGTGGCTTTAATGAGGTGATGTGGATGACACATCATTTTGATGACTTAATTAAAATAAAAATAAAAACATAATTTAAATTATTATTAGTGATATCATTTTTCATTGCTATGATTTAAAAAAACATTTAATTTTTTGACCTTTTCTTATTAAGTTACATGCAAATTAAATATTAAAAAGTAAAATCTATACTATATTATAAAACATTTGACAAAAACTCTTAAAAACCATTTTTTATGCATGAAGCACTGTATAGTAATGCATATTACTTACAATTCAAGATTACAAATAAATTATGCATAAATACAATTTATTAAAGTTTAATGCTTGAATTCGCGTAACTAATTGCGGATAAACATAACCAATTAGAAGATAAACATCTCAATTTAAAATATATAAAATCTAAAATATAATTAGGATAATTATCGAGTTCTAAAAAAATAATTAATAATTATCTTTATAAGAAAATTATATTATTAAACCAAATATAAATTAATTCGTTATTAAACCTAAATTAAATATAACTAAAAAAATTGAATTAGAAAATTACACAAAAATTAGGAATTTTAAATAGTTAATTTGATACAAATATCGATATATTTTTGTCAAAATTTTACGATATCTTCAAATTTATATTTTATTCAAAAATAAAAACATTATCGTTTTTTTCAAAATCACATAGGACCATACTATAACATCGATTGAGATAACGAATAAAATGAATATTAAAATCAAGATGTATCTTGCTGCATTGCTCGAATACCCTTCTAGTATTTCTGAAATAAATATGCTACATTATTTATGAGATATATTTTGTTTGTTAAAAAAACACTTCTTATTTTATGTTGTTAAAAAAATACACATCTCTTAAAGTTCTCTATAAAATGTTAACGAAATAAATTGTGTTATACAATTTTTTTAATATTGTTATATTAATAAATAATTCAAAAAAATCTAATTAATTTAATATATTTATACGTCAAGTAAAAGTTTTTGAACAAATATAATATATTGTTTAAAAGATAATATTTTTTGGGTAAAAAAGAAACAATTCTTATTTTCTTTAGAAAAACATATTTTTAAAAAAATATTAGCGAGATAAGTTGTCTTGTACTAGTTTTTTTAATATTGGTATATTAATGAATAATTTAGAATTTTTTTAATTAATTTAATATATTTATTAAATAACATGTAAAATATCTAAATATGAAAATTAAAAGTACATTGTTTAATAAGAACTAGTAGATGTTATAATAAAATAATTTTGAAAGTATAATGTTGTAATAAGAAAGTCACATCACTATGGTACATGTGGACAACTTACATGGACAATGAGGTGGCATAAAAACCTGGTATAATGGGTCAATTTAAAACAAAAGGTTATCAAATGCTATAACGGGTAAATTTTTCAAAATACAATGTTTTAATAAAAAAATAGTTTGAAAGTACATTGATGTAATAAGAAAAACTGAAAGTACAATGCTATAATAAAGAAATTTATGAAAACAGACTGTTATTTTATGCATTTTGCCCTATTATATAATTATAAAAAATAAGAATAAAAAAACATTAGTATAAAAAATTAATAAAATAATTAAACATTTATTTACCCAAACATTGATTCTTTAAAAAAAATAAAGAGAAAACGGTTTTATATTTTATTTGCTTTGGTTTTTAAGTTGTATTCAATAATGACATAAAAATAATAATAAAA